GTAGGAAGGATACTGGCCTCTCACAGTTAGTATATGCTTAGCTCTTATGCTGTCAGGAAGAGGAGCTCTGCAGAGAACTGCTGTGGGATTGGGAGTCTGGTCTGGTCTGCTGCCTATACTGACTATCTGCCAAAGGACTTTGTGTTTCTTTCTTTTCTTTTTCTTCTTTTAATCAGGGTTCAATGACCACATCTCCTGACATGATAAGAAACCATTTGGGTGGATGGCTTCCTCAGATGGATACCCTTGGACAGAACTGTAGATTTATCATCTGAGAACAAATCATTAGCTGACTGTGAGCTCCAGGACTAGTGTCTAACATGGTCCTTAGGAGACTCAGCAAGCGGTGACTCAGTCATGTGAGACTAATTCTGACCATCCTTTAAAATCAAAGTGGCTAGGTGCTGTTGGCACACACCTTTTATCCTAGCACTGGGGAGACAGAGGCAGGCAGATCTCTGTGTGTTCAAGGTCACCCTGGCCTACAGAGTGAGTTCCAGGACAGCCAGGGCTACACAGAGAAACGCTGTCTTGGAGGAAAGGAAAAAAAGTGTTATTTTGTAGATTCTGCAAGGTGCCAGCGCCAGCATGGCCTTTGCTCAGTCATGGCCAGCAGCAGGGTAACTCAAAAGCTTAGGCAGGCATTCCCTTACTCCTTTTCTACAGGTTCACACCATTGCTTTGCATCTGCTGTGATTTGTCTCAAATTATTTGTTTTGTTTTTTGTTTTTGTTTTTACGAGACAGGGTTTCTCTGTGTTGTTTTGGAGGCTGTCGGTCCAGCCTGGCCTCGAACTCACAGAGATCTACCTGCCTCTGCCTCCCGAGTGCTGGGATTAAAGGTGTGGGCCACCACCGCCCAGCTTTTGTCTCAAATTATTTACTTAGCAAATAATTACTGACAGTCCTTGGGATGGAGGAGTTCTGGCACCAGGGACAAGGGAGATAGAAGCACAAGGAGTGGCAAGAGGGGACCAAGCACTATAAGAGCCAAGGGACGGACACAACTCCAAACTAAATCTCTCCTAACCATGAAGTAGCAGGGACAAGAGCTGTGGCTGAGTTGTGGAAGCCACAGGTAACAGGGGAAGAGGTGTTGGAACAGGCAGGGCTGCCATGCTGAGGCGCAGTCACATTCTAAGGCATCAGGAAGCATTTTCTACATGGGGATGACACACGTTTTGCTCTAAGAAGATTGCAGTGTCAGCCAATACAACTACAGAACTCAGACCATGGAGCAGGTCACCTGCTGCAAACCCTGCAGCAGGAAGAGCTTGTCCCTGCAGAATCTGAATAGTTGTCCCTAAATCTGTTGACATGTTTCACTGTGACACACCCATATAGAGGTGTTAGAGCAGGGGTGATTCCTATATGTGTGAAAGACTGGCCCTCAAGATGCCCTCCCTCAGATGACCCCTTTAGCATTGGTCCAGTTACACCAGACTTTACTGACCATTTTATAGCCTGTGTATTTTCTGGAGATGCAGCTGAGCCTGTATGTGGACTGTTTGGAGACTGACTGGTTGTATTCTTGTGATGTCCTCCTGGGCCACCACATCTGAGGTTTTCATCCCTTTTCTCTGCTGATCTGCAGTTCACCCAGGGCTCATCTTGGAGGAGGCTGAGTTGGGTCATGACTACATGAGTTTCATGTTAAATGTTCCTGGAAGTGCAACTCTGGACCCCAGGGCCATAGCACACTATTCTTGCAAGCCTTGATTAAAGCAAGTCTCTCTGTCATACATGTGCCAACACTTGGTGTTTTCTCCTTGCTAAGTTCCCTAGTCCCATGAATACACCTTAGTCCTTACTAGAAGGTTCAGGATCATCCAAAAATTTTAATCAAAGTTTCCAGAGAGTACTACTACTACTACTTCTTTTTTAAAATTTTATTTAACTTATTTATTTTATGTGCATTGATGTGAAGGTGTCAGGCCCCCTGGAACTGGAGATACAGACAGTTGTGAGCTGTCATGTGGGTGCTGGGAGTTGAACCTGTGTCCTCTGGAAGAGCAGCCAGTGCTCTTAACTACTGAGCCATCTCTCCAGCCCCTGCTACTACTTCTTTTGAAAGGAAATTTTCTGGGCAGTGGAGGCCCACACCTTTAATCCCATCATGTGAGAGGTAAAAACAGCAGGATCTTTGTGGGTTCGAGGCTAGCCTGGTCTACAAAGAGAGAGCCAGGACAGCAAGAGCTACACAGAGAAACCCTTTCTCAAAAAAACCAAAAGAAGGGGAAAAAGGAATTCTTTAAAAAAGATTTTTAACCATTTAAAAATTATGTGTATATGTGTGTGTATCTGTACACTTAGGAGTGCAGGTACCCAAAAGGAGTCCAGAAGAGAATGCTGTATCCCCTGTGGCTAGAGTGTCAGGCACTTGTGAGTCACCTAATATGGATGCTGAAAACAGAACTCAGGTCCTCTGCTAGAGTGGCAGTAACCTCTTACTAACCACTGAGCCATCTCTCCAGCACCAGGAAAATTTTTTTTGCTTATTTGTTTTGTTTAATTTTTTACTTTTTTGAAACAGAGTTTCTTTGTGTAGTCCTGGCTGTCCTGGTACTCAATCTACAGACCAGGTTGACCTCAAACTCACAGAGATCCACCTGACTCCGCCTCCTGAGTGCTGGGATGAAGGGTGTGTGCCACCACTGCCCTGAGTCTTTTTTAAAAATATCATTTTGTGTGTATGTATAATGTGTGTGTAGGAGTGTGCATGGCATGTGTGAAGGTCAGAGGACAATTTTTGTGGAGTTGGTTGTCTCTTCCTACCTTTATATGGGTTCTAGGGATTGAATTTCAATTGTCAGGTTATGTCGTTGAACAGCAAGTGCCTTTACCTGCTGAGCCACCCTACTGGATCCCCCATCTTATTTTTTGAGACAGGATTTAAAGCTGGGTCATTGACACTGAGCCTGGAGCTTGCCCTTTAGGTTAGACTGGTTGGTAATGTGTGTTTTTCTCCTTCCTCAGGACCCTTCTGTCCCCATCCCTTACAGTTACAGGCTCACACTGCCATGTCTGGCTTTTCTATGGGTTCTGGGAATCTGAATTAAGGGCCTCATGTTTGTACGGCAAGCATTTTACCCAATGAGCCACTTCTCCAGCCCTATCAAATTCTAAAAATGTTCCTTAGCATGCACAGCCCGGAAGAGAAACTTGGGTAAAGGAGAGCAGGTGGGTAGACATTTGGTAGCAACTGGCTCCTGCTGCTTGGCCAAGTTTCTTCCTACTTGCCCACCCTCTTGGCAGCTTTCTGCTTGGCCTTATTTCGTGTCCTCCTTTGTTTATCACTTATTGCTTTAGAAGACACGAGCTGGCAACCTGTGTACCCCAGTCTGCCTCAATTTCAACTTCCTCTCAGTCTTGAAAGAAGCATAAAAAATTCCTTTGGCGGTTAAACATGTCCAAAGACATGAGAACGCAGACACAGACTGAAAGCATTTCTGCATACACTAGACAGAACACCAGTTCCAAACGCTTACTCTATTAACATAAATGCCTGTAGCATGAAGCTGTGAACAGAAGCCTCACTCTTCACTGGTAGGGAAGTTGCCTCCGAGCAAGCAGTCAGTACAATGGAATGTAGTGTATATGTGTGTGTTTGTATGTGTGTGTGTGTTTGTCTCCTAGAACTTGCTCAGAGATCCACCTGCCTTTGTCTCCCAAGTGCTGGGATTAAAGACTTGAGCCACCACACCTAGCTTGGAACACAAATTTTAATAGCTTTTCATGTATAAAAAATTCCACAAAGTACCACAATCATTATGGACATGAATTTTAATAATTTAGGACAAGATGGGGGAAGCAACTCTTTCAGATTCTTTCCAGAAGGTCCAGTGAGGATGAGGTAACAACGGCTATGTAAGCTGCTATCCCCCATCCTTTCAGTCTCTGTCTCTCTGTCCCTGACTTGTCTGTCTGTCTTAATGCTGCTCTTTGCTCTGGGACCACACAGGGCCCTCATGATTTTTGTCTTCCAAGGATACAGTGGTGGTTTTGTGAGTGAATGGAACATTCACAACCTACAGATGTCAATATGCAGGGCTGTAGAGGGACAGCAGCAGGAGTTCTACTTAATCAGACCAGCTTTGGATAAACCTGAGGGGCTAGTGTTTGACCTAGACCAACTCCAGTGATGGGACAATCCGGTGCTTTGCATACAGGAAAGACCCACTAGAGGGCTGGAGGAGGGTGTTTCTTGGGGAGGAAGGGGGATTGATCTGTGGTAGGGACAATATGGAATCACTGTGTCCTCCGACCTTCCCCAGGCCTCTGTTTCTGCCCTGCCCTTTTCATTCTTGCTCCCACAGCTGAGCTGAGCCCCATAACCTCCCAGGCCTTGTGAATCTCAACAGCTGTCTCCCACGAACAGCTTCTAGGAAGCAGCATGGTAAAGTCTCTACCCACCGAGACCTACAGATCTCCCAGTGCTGTCTTCTGTACCAAGCAACTGTGTCCTCATATCCTAGTTGACACAGTCTGGGCAGAAAACTGAAACGTTCCTTTTATAAGAACCAATAAGATCAAGCCCAGCACTTGGGAAGCAGAGGCAGGGGGATCTCTGTGAGTTCAAGACCAGCCTGGTCTACAAGAGCTAGTTCCAGGACAGCCTCCAAAGCCACAGAGAAACCCTGCCTCGAAAAACAAAAAACAAAACAAAACAAAAAAAAAAAAAAAAAAGGAAATCAGAGGTATCTGAACTCAGTTTAACAAAATGATGGTTGGCTCTGTCTGGGGCTGGGAAAGCTGCTTTCCACATATGGGGACTACAGAAGCCATACTGACCCTGAAGAGCAGACCTGATACCCAGAGGTTGATGGGACAGGGACCTTCAGTACTGAATTCTCCTGCAACTACCTGGAGTTATAACCTAGCTGTAACCTCCAAGTACAGAGGTTGCAAGAGATAAGAAGGCTCTGCTCCCATCCTAGGAGGACAACACTGAAGGACAAGGACACAGATACAAGTTATTAATCGATTCTCTCCTCTCTGTAGGCTTTGTGCTGGTCATCGGACTGGTGACCTTCTACAGAATTGGTCCTTATACCAACTTATCTTGGTCTTGCTACCTGAACATTGGTGCCTGCCTTCTAGCCACCCTGGCGGCTGCGATGCTCATCTGGAACATTCTTCACCGGAGGGAGGACTGCATGGCACCCAGGGTGATTGTCATCAGCCGTTCTCTGACAGCACGATTTCGCCGTGGCTTGGAAAATGACTATGTGGAGTCGCCATGCTGAGAATACCCTTATTGGGACTTTATGAATAACCGCTGTAATGTCATAGTCTAGAAACCAATAGCCTGTCCCAAGCTCTGCTTGTGCAGAGGTGTGGGGTGAGTCTGGGTTACCTATATATACATATGTATGATACTTATGTACATTTATTATGTTACATATGAATATATTATGTGTCTACATGCCATGTGTGCCACCCTGCTTCTGACACAATCTTCCTTGGCCAGCACAGTACAGTTTCATATCATGCAGGTTTAAAAGGTGGAGCCTAGACACTGAGGCAGGGAAGGAGGCAGTGTGGGCACCTTGCTCTCCACCTCCATTTGGGATTAATTTATTCTGTATCTACTAAGATGGCATCCCTGGTTTACTTTTATAAAGCAGAACATCCAGGAAGCTTTTCATGAAGGGTCTGAATGAAAGAGAACTCATGACAGGTGGTAATGGTTTAGGCCAGAATCAGGTAATGGTTTAGGCCAGAATCAGTTTCCTCCTATTTGTCTAAGTTAAAATACACACAAGCCTCTGAACTGTGTCTAAAACTTGTGCTTCATAAACCCCATCCGTATTTCTATATTTCTCTGAGACTTTGGTGAGATGACACTAAAAAAGACCTCCTTAAGGATCCAGAGGAGACACATACCCCAATTCAGGGTTTGTGCAACCCAGAAGTCCACATCTGTGAAGTCCATATTCCCGCACCCTGAAAATAGGGCTGTCACAGTGCATTAACAAACAGGATGGAAAGGATGAAACCCAATAGCTTTTCCCAGGAAACCTTTGGCCTCCCTCCAGCTAGGGCAGGATAGGCTATTGGATACCTCCAGGGGCCATGCTGCTTTCAGACAGTCTGTGGCTCCCCAGAAAATGTATCAAACATGTAACTCTGGAGTTGAAAATGGTCCACAGAACCCAGAGCTGCCTGCCCACATCTGTGACCAAGGCCCTGGTGCATCCTTGCTAGATAGCTCATCATGGCATATTCAACAAGAGGAAACTGGCACTATCAGGACATGAAAGCCAGGAGTGAGCTGCCCTCCTCTGCCTGCATCTCCTAATAAACGCCAATTTTGTTGCTTTCACTCTTCTAGTGACGAAGGTTGATCAGTTTATATTCTGAAGCCCATCCTGTACCAAAGCTTTATCTTTAGTCAGAACAAACAGTGAAACACTTGAAGAGACGATGATGACATATAAGCATTTACAGACTGGCCATATGTAACACTCAGCACACTGTAGAAACGAGCAAGTACGTGTCCACGGTACAGCACAGATTCAGGCATTTGGCTATGACTTCCTCCCACCTGTCTCTCCCTATGAGACACACACAGTAGTATTGTGTACATGTCTATATGAAGCACACTAAAGGTCTACCAGTGGCCATGCAGTCTGCTTTCCGCTGTAATCATGTCCACAGTAGATGAAAGCTATCCAGGAAAGATTGGGCTATGATGTTTAGCCTTGTGGGTCACCTCCAAATTAAATGTCTACATGGCCAGTGTGGGGGGAAAAACCTCCTAACTGTAATAAAACCAGGCCTCAATAATTTTCACAGTAGATGAAGGTTCCATGATATCTTGAAAAGTACAATCTGTGCTTCAAAATAATCACTGTATGTAAGCTGAGGCAGGGAATTTATTCCAAGCATTTCTTTTCTTCTTTAAAAAAATATAATTTATTTTTATTTTATGTTCACTGGTGTTTTGATTGCATGCATGTCTGTGTGAAGGCATCAGACGCCCTTGTACTGGAGTTACAGACACGTGTAAGCTGCCATGTGGGTGCTGGGAACTGCACCAGGTCCTCTGAAGAGCAGCCAGTGCTCTGAGCCATCTCCCCAGCCTCAGGCGTTTATTGTCACACCTTTCCTTTCTCATAGTATGACTCTCCCACATTTTATTTTACCCTTTAAATGATAATCTGTCAAAAGCTTAATTTTACTTCAACCTTCTTTTTTTATTTTTAAAAACATTTATTTTTTAATTTAATTTTTGTTTTGTTTTTTTGTTTTTCGAGACAGGGTTTTTCTGTTTAGCTTTGGAGCCTGTCCTGGAACTAGCTCTTGTAGACCAGGCTGGCCTTGAACTCACAGAGATCTGCCTGACTCTATCCCAAGTACTAGGATTAAAGGCGTGCGCCACCACTGCTTGACTTAGAAATATTTATTTATTTATTTATCAGCTCTGCTTAAAAAGATTTATTTATTTATTCTGTATACAGTGCTGTCTGCATGTGTTCCTGCACGCTGGAAGAGGGTATCAGATCTCATTATAGGTGGTTATGAGCCAACATGTGGTTGCTGGGAGTTGAACTCAGGACCTCTGGAAGAGCAGCCAGTGCTTTTAACCTCTAAGCCACCTCACCAGCCCCCTACTCTAACCTTCTAAGTGCTGGGATGATCAGAACAAGCCAGCATATCTAGATTACTGTAACTTCTTTCATAAAATGTAACTGTATTTCATTGGTAATTTTGCTGTTTATTTATTAATACTTTTGAGCAATATTTAGAACCTATAGAACTTTGGATCAGAATACTCTGAACACTTTAAAATAAATGAAAATGATAAAGTAACAGCCTAGAGGTTCCTGGCACCACTGATATCAGGAGCCAGGCTTGCCTGCAGCATCAAACAGTGTGCCAGATCCCATATTCTTGAGCTTGGTGTCTGTCTATTGGTGGGTATTTCATTGAATAGAAAAACAGTTAATCATTGTAATATGATCACAAAGGCGCTCTTAGCTTGAAATATAATTGATAAAGAAGGCATAAAAGGGCCTGGAAAGATGGTTTAGTGGTTAAGAACACTTGTAGCAGAGTGCCTGATCCTACATAATGGCTCACAACCACCTGTAACTACAGCTCCGGGTTACCAGATGCCTTCTGACTTCCTTAGGCACTGGGCACACATGTGATTCACACACATACGTAAAATACTCATATTTACAAAAATAAATCTAAGAAAATCTTTTTTTTAAAGAAGGCATTAAAAATGTTGAAGGCTCTAGGTAGGATGCATGTCACCTGTGACATTTCAGTGAGTGGACGCCTTACCTTTTGATGAGTTTGATAGATTTGAAAGCTTCATCCATGTCCCCAATGGTGACAAAGAAGCTGAAGTTGAGCATAGCATCCCGAGTAGGCTTGTCACAGTCCTCCAGCCCCACAAAGTCTCGCAGGGGTCTCTTGGCTACCATCTGAGGGATGTGGTAGTGTCCAGAATCCACCCTGTCTTCTTTCTCTGCTTCTCCAGGCTGGATGGAGGACAAAGGCCCCATATGATTGTCAAGTATATGTAAAAGCAATGCCTGCAGTTAGTCTCACTTCCTCTAAATTCAAACAACCACTGGGAAACCTATATGCAGGGAGGCACAGGTATATAGCCATAGGCCAAAGGGTTCCCACAGGGTCCTGAAAAGCCTTTAATGTCACTGGAACTGATCAAGGCTTTGGGTCCTTGTTTCAGATGACAGATAAACAAAGGCTGTCCAGGTATAAACTTGTTTTGTCAGCCTCTAATTCAGTAATGTCAGGCTCACATTAAAAATACCTCTTTCTGCTATCCTCTACCAGCGTTTCATTCATTGTAAAGACTGTTTACCAGCTTTATGTCAAGTCAGACACACTTGTGTCTCTTAAAATTAAAGAACACTAGCTGGTCTTTCTTGAAGAGGAGGTGCTGAGGAGCCCACTGCCCTGCCATGGCTCTTCTAATGCTCGAAGACTCTGTGTCTGCGCTTACACCCTTCACTCCAGGACTGGAGCACTGCAGTCCACTTGCATATTGTTATGCACACATACTCTCTGGTACATATTCACCACCACGACTATCCAAGTGGTGGCTTCAACCATCTCATCCCCACCTCAGCTATCATGAATGAGTCAGCCTCACTGTTCTTTCTGGGCCCACCTGGCAGGCTCAGTGAGAAGACTCAAGGAGGAACCAACACTTGTCCTGGACTCTGAAAATCTGATGAAATGCATCATGCCTCACTGTAGCTGGGAGCTCTTCTAGATACAGCATAGGGTATAAGCAAAGGCTCTGTTGAGGGTAGCTTGAGTTTAGGTCCATGGAATATATATCAATACATATTTCAACTAGGTGACAGAAGAGTTTGGTTAATTGTGCACTAAGTTGGACACTGTCCTTCACAATGGTAACATCATCATCCTTGGTGTGGTTCTAATAAACCCATTTTATTATGTAAGCATCCTGGGGAGCCTCAGAATTCCCTGTTCCCTGCTTATTTGCCATGCCTCTTTATTTTAGCTCCTTGTTACTGACCTATAAAGCAAGAATTGTTGTCTATGGCCATACTACCCTGAACACATCTGAACTTATCTCATCTTGGGAGTATTTTGACAGGAGGCAGAAACTTTATCCTATGTCATAGTAGATTGGCATAACCTGCCAGTCACATGGTAAAGGTGCTAGGCTCTCTCAGACCATCCTGGGATGGTGGGCAACGAACATCTGGGGGAAAGGACTGAAGCACTGCATGTCAGCACTGCAAGTAAGCACCTCAAGTCAGCACTGCATGTCAGCAAACAGACTAAGAGCACAATGCCCTCTGGCTGGTCCTTAGCAGCACTTTGAAAGTTAAACTAATGATATTCCTCATATTGCAAACAGGTCAACCAAGCATTTCCTATATCTGGAGATCATGTGAATGGCTATGCATGTCACAGATACACACCAGACTAAGAGCCAATGGGCTCCTGTCGAATTTCACTAAGTCACATGGCTCCATGGTCAAACAAAAAGTTCTAGCCTCCAGAAACATTTCCTATGTAGGTGAGCAAGGTAGGCAGGAGGTGCTGGCACACACACAATACAGCAAGAAGTTAAGGGGCTCAGGGACACGACAAAACCAAGATGACAGGCCATAACCCAGAACTTCATACTTACGACTGCATCATACGTGCCTCTTCTGTGGAATAACAACTATGAGTGTAGGCACAGAAAAAGGAGATGAGAAAGAAAAAGAAAACATGCATAAATAGGTGGAAGAAACAAAAATCCAGAATATGAAGTTAATGTGGAAAACTCAACAGGAAGAACTTAAATGAGCTTTCCAAACTTTCTGTTTTCAAATCAAAGGGAAATCACACCAAAGAATACAAAACAAGGATGAAAAATACTGGGAAAACATCAGTCTGGTAGTGGAATTCTATTTTAAAATAAAACAATTAAAACACCTGTACTGACAGAAAAAGTACTCCCAGAACTTAGCTAATCACACAAATACTTTCCCAGCTTTCACAAACATCAACTCCACTTATAAGGCACACGGAAGTATAACATACAAACTGCTCATACACCAACTTCTAGCAGCTGTATACTACTGCTGTATATGGTAACTTGGAAAACTGGAACCAACTGTCCTGGATTTGTTTTTATTTAAAATGTATTATTATATATGTGTGTTTGCAGATCTTAAAGCTAGAAGCCCCCACAATGCTGGTCACAATGATCACAAATCAAGGGGCAGTATCCACCCCACAGCAATTCCTTTTAGAGTAAATCACAGTCCTAGAAAGAGCTGAGTGTGACTTGCATGCTTGTGACTGTCTAGCAGTCCACATGGTACAATTTCATTAGCTTACATGGTTATGTGGAGGGAACTGCATAGCAGACACAGACTTTTACTCTGCTCTGTCTCCCTGTGGCCTATCCCACTACTCACCTTCGGCTACAAAAGTAACAACAAGCTAAATCAGGCATGGTTGAATACATATGTAATCCTAGCAATCTCAGCACTGAAGAGGCTGAAGCAAAAGGACTAAATGTTTGAGTTCAAAGCCACCCTAGGATTCATAATGAAAATCTTGCAAGCAAGCAAGAAAGAGGGTGGGGTGGGGTTAGATAAATGGCTCAGTAATTCATAGCATGCACTGCTCTGGCAGAGAATCACAGTTCAGTTCCCATTACCAGGGAGCTCACACCACCTGTACTACTTCTTGCCTCCGCAGGCACCCACACTTGTGCGCGTGCGCGCGCACGCGCACACACACACACACACACACACAAAAAATAAAAATAATTTTTAAAGATAGAAAGGTTAGTTTCAGACAATAGGAATAGCACAGGGCTCATTTTAAAGACCGACTTTATGGGGAAACCATAAAACCAAGAAACACTTAGGTAAAAGCTGACATCAAAGGTCCCCTCTCTCTGCCTTTTTGGTATGATAATGCAAGGGAAGTGGCAGCGAGGGTGTCTACATTTTTCTAGAAGGTGTGGGTCCAGCAAGACAACAGCTTCTTCAGTTCAGGGGACCAAAGCCATGACAGCAGCTACCAACCATTACGGAGCTCACTGACAGCTCCAGCCCTTGTGCCCAAGTTTCAACCCCACAGGCGCACTAGGCTGCTGTGTGGGAAGTCCCTTAGGTGTGGTTGTGAGGTGTGGCTCAGTGTGGCAGAGTATCTGCCTAGCATGTGTGAGGTCTTGAGTTTGACCCCTAGCAAACAACAACAACAACAAAAACAAAAACAAAAAAGGAAAGAAAACAGGAAAAGGAAAAAAAGCATCAGCAGCCTCCACAATCACCACAGCCACTACCTCTCAGGTGACAATGGAGCCCAAAGCTGAAGAACTAGCAATTGGTAAAAATGGGTACAACAGAGTAAGGCTGCCTGGACTCAGGTTCTTCTGTCAATGCGCCATTTTAGAACCACAGCCCAAATGGATCTGAGGCATGTAAAATAAATGGGTTAGGATATATGTTAGTGTTTACTGAGCCCATTCTTTCAAAACTCACAAAGAACCATGTGTGTATACCTCATTTACATCTAGGTTACAGAAGCCTGCTGAGTAGTGATACCAGCTGCCTCACAGTGATCATCTCTGGGCCTGGATCAGGGAGATTTGTATCATTTGTATCATTGCAGAAGAATACAGGAGTAATTATTCTAAAAAAAATCTAGCTAGAATAAAAGGAAATGACAAAGGCTGAAAGTTGTACTATTAGAAGGAAAGTCAAAACAGAAGGGTCAAGAGTCCTGTCAAGCCATAGCCCAGTGTCACATTAGTCCTTCCCGAGACAAAGGCAGTCCCATGGGTATCCCAGCACAGGAGAGGTCAGATAACTATGCCAGCTGATGGCAGGCCTGGTCTCTGAGACGTGAGCCTCACAGCGTGGAGGGCCAACTCATATCTCAAGTGTGCTAGAGACACATGGAAGAGTCCACCCAGGGAAGGGAGAACGGAGAATAACTGTGTAGGTATCAGGGATTCCCACCTTTTTTGTGAAGTAATAATGAGGCACTTCCATTCCCAGAAGGTTCTGGTAGATAGGAGGCCGGGGGAAGCAGTCGTGGAGCAAGAAGCCGTGCTCTTCAGAAGCAAAGAATGAGAGAATCAAAACATCCTCCTGGAAGACACAGGACAAAGCTGCGTGGTTTTACATTTAACATTATACTTTCCTGGCTCCTTTTTCCTTGTTGGCCGTCTAAAGGCAAGAAGAGTCACCAGCAGCTCTACTGGAGTCACCCAAGGAAGTTCTGCCTGGGTTTTTGCTCTTGCCGTGTCTGCTCTAATCACCATGGTCTGATCCGGAAATACCAGATGAACACATGCTGTCAGTGTTTCCATCAGTATGAGAAGGACATAAGCTTCATTACGTTGGACTAAGTGACCTTGAATCGATTATTTAACACTGTCTACTCAGTGAAACAGATCATGTTAGTCTTTGTACAAAAAGAATAAAAAGGGGGGGTGGCGCAGTGGTGGCACACACCTTTAATCCCAGCACTCAGAAGGCAGAGGCAGGTGGATCTCTGTGAATTCGAGGCCAGCCTGGTCTACAGAGTGAGTTCTAGGACAGCCAAGACTACACAGAGAAACGCTGTCTCTTGAAACAAAACAACAACAAAAAAAGAAAAAAAAAGTGAAGACCTCAAAAACAAAACAATACACTTTCCCATTTTCTTCTCAATTTCTTTTCAGGGTGTATAGTCATGATGCCATTTCTGCCAGGGCTTCCCAAGCTTCTTCTCTGCCCCCTTTGAAGAATAAAGGCATCTTCCACATGACTGTACCTCAGCTGCCTGTAGTCAACAGACCCTAGGAGTGACTAATCACTGAACCCCACCTGAGTTCATGAGGGAAACTCAAGAGTGCTTGGGATTGCTAAAAATTGCCCTTTTAGCCAGGCAGTAGTGGCACACGCCTTTAATCCCAGCAAAGGCAGGCAGACCTCTGTGAGTTCCAGGCCAGCCTAGTCTACAAACCGAGTTCTAGGATAGGCTCCAAGGCTACAGAGAAACCCAGTTTCGAAAAACAAAAAACAAACAAACAAAAAGCAAAAACCCCACCCTTTGGGTTTCCTTGCTCTGAGCAATAGGGAAGGGAAGGCACAATGGAGATCCCCAATTTTATGTAGCCCCTGTCGCATGTGAGCAGAGTACGCCACAACAAATGCCAGAACCAACTTCCTGTCTGCAACTGCTTCTTAAAAGCAAAGAGAGGACACAGGACTTTTCCTCACTACTGTGGTGTGAAGTCTTAAATTGTGCACACCATCATCACAAAAAACATCAAGAACCGCCGGGCGTTGGTGGCGCACGCCTTTAATCCCAGCACTTGGGAGGCAGAGGCAGGTGGATCTCTGTGAGTTCGAGGCCAGCCTGGTCTACAGAGTGAGTTCCAGGACAGCCTCCAAAACAATACAGAGAAACCCTGTCTTGAAAAACAAAACAAAACAAAAAAACATCAAGAACCACTTGATCACATGACCAGTATCAACCTCCCCATGGACGTGCCTTCACTCTTACTAGCTATTTTTGCTGTGCCCATTATTTCCTGTGACTTCATACTGCCCATCTGCAAAATCCCTCTGGCAATATTTCCTTCATCCCAGCGATACAGAAGCCACTTGGTCTATTCTATCATTCTGGCATTTGAGGATCAAGGGCAGGGTTCGCTCCTGGCATTCTCTGGATACTGACTGATTTTCAGACTCTCATTTGTGAGAACACCTCCAGCAGGAAGATAAATCCTGCAACTACAGAATGGGCTTCTCTATGCTGACTGCTCTGAGAGGACGGTGGGTGATAGTGGCACACAGACTGTTGGATTTGTTAGGGACATCTGACATCTTGCAAAACATAAGCCTTGGAAAGTATCAGAGTCCCAATTCCTATGTGGGTACTGTTCTGGAGCCAAGAGCATATCTGCATGGAGCTTGAGCCCTACAGAGATGGGGGCCACGAGGAGGGCAGAGACAGTGATTGAGGACAGTTGATGGGGGTGAATGGGGGTTACAGCTCTACCTCAGATCCAGTCTCAGCATGTGCTAAGGCAGTAAGGGTTACTTCACATAGAGACCTATAAAGAGCTCTGCCCACAGAGAGAGTAACATGGGACAGATAAGAAAATTAAGAAATTAAAAATTGGGATTATACTGGACAAAAAAGTTGGAGCGGACCTAGACAGGAAGGGTGGGGTAGATTAACACTGCAGCTTTCCTCAAGATGGTTCTGTCTACAGGGCATGACAGGAGGCACACAGGAGGCAGAGGCAGACAGAGCTCTATGAGGTCCAAGCCAGTCTGGTCTACAGAGCTAGTTCCCGGACAGTCAGGGTGACACAAGAGAAACCATGCCTCCTCAACCCCCTCCCCCTCTCTCCTCCCCCTGAAAAAGATGTCTTTTATTGGTTTACGGAAATGATCTTGATGCCACAGTAACTTATTCAGTCAGAGGTATGAGGTAGATATTCTACTCCATATGAATGAATTTCCCTAGTAACTCTCCTATAAGTTATGCTATGGTCACCATATATGTCTAAAAATGTAACATAGCAAACAATAGGTACCTTGTGGCATGTGTCCTCCACATGGGGCTGCTTGTCTACAGCCTGTGGCTGGGCTCCAGATGCCTCCTGCAAGGCCTCACACACGAAGAGCCTTGGCTCACTCTGATCCCAGAAATGGTTCACAGGAACGTAACTGGCTAGTCTCTCATGCATAAAGATGCGGGTCCTAAAACAGAAGGGAAGACCATCCCCAACTCTGAGAAGAGCATTGCTTTTAGTGCTACCCACACACTCGGAATGTCTCAGTGAATGCCAGCAGGTGACAGTGTTGCCAAGTGCATAGCTCCTGGAGCACCTTTGGGCCACTCACTGCCACACAGCCTGTCAGAACAGAATATATTTTTACAGACTTTGAGGAATTGGGAGAAAGGGTCTGCGAAGTCTGGATTGGAGACACTGAGAATGATGCTTGGATCTGGAGGTCCTGCAGGGGCCCTAAAATCTCCTAGGAGGTATTCAGAAGCAAGCCTGTATGACACTGTCTAATTTTACCCGAGTCTTTCCCATCTGTAATATACTGTAATTTATGGGTCCAAGAACTTGAAGAAATTCTATAGCGAGATCAATGAACGGGGTGCAAAGGCTGGGGATCTCAACAGTAAATGAGTACGGTGGCATGTACCATCAGTTACAGCTATTTGGGAGATGAAGGTGGGATAGTCACATACAGAAAGAGAGAATTATGAGGTAAGGGAGATAGTCCTCCTTAAGTGCCACCCTAGAGGAGCACAGCAAACCCAGGGTAGAATATGGCACTGCTGGGCTCGATGGCCCTTGGTGGCTGTGCAGGACCCACTTTTACAGGAAACATATAACCTTCATAGATGCTACCAACACCAGCACTGGTGATGTGCCCACAGGTCACAGTCTGCTCAGCTCTGTGATAACGGATGGGACAAGCACAGAATTTAGGATGGAACACATACCAAGGTCCTCTGAAATGCCAGACATAGTTTGTTTCCTTTGCTCTATAATGAGGCTGGCCAGAGAGAATGCCTGGCAAGAAAGTTAGAACAGGCAGAAAGGATGTTGTCTATTCTTAAAGAGAAGTCATGGGAATCAAGCAGTGAAGAAAATAACAAGAGACAAAAGACATTTCATGAGATAAAGAGGGGAACTGGCAGCAGGGAGTGAAGGAAATGTTAGTTTCAAAGATTTACGCCTGGTTGCAGAGAACCCAGGAACACTGGAATGGGATGAAGCTGTTTCAGTGTATCAGTCTGAGGGGTGAGAAGTTCAAGGGCCCATATTCTGAGTCAGGAGATCAATGGTACAGTTAGGTGGAAAGAGAAGAAGGGGTTGTTGAAGTAAGGCATCAACAGAGATTAAAGTAGACCAAGGAGCTTAAAGAGGCTCCAGAGACAGATCTAAGGAGGCAGGCAGGACTTAGGGAGAGAGACAGGAAGAATTTAGGGTGGACTATGCAGGAAGATCTGAGTCAGGAAAGAGGGGCAGGGCACTTGCTTAGCACACACCAGGTTTTGGGATCCGTCCTTAGCATCACAATTAACCAATCAGTCAAACAACAAAGCTAGCAAAAATAGCAGGACAGTACAAAAAAAGGATGACAGAAAGTGAGTCACCGAATGCAACCCTGCTGCCAGCTCCTCTGTTCTCTGTAAGCCATCGAGGTGAGCCTGAAGGTTTCCGCACATGTTTTGTTGTGCCCGTACTTCACTGCAGACATACCTAGCATTCTTTCCCAAACTGTTTGCTTTCCTGACTCAAGTCATGCAGAATTAAATATAGATGGTAGAGGAGTATTGCTAGTTCTTCAAGTCCCAAGAACACGTTTCTGAAGCAGGAACTATATTTATGGGTTACATCAACCCTCCCCCAACAGAAAGACACTTCTTTCTTATTTTCTCTAGAAACATATTCTCTACAAAGACAAGCACCTTTTTCCTGTCAGAGCTGCCAATAAGTCTGAGGCCACTCTGTTCTGGGACATTTCTAGAGATGATTGGGAGAGCCCCTCCAAATTTTGAGTTTCTAATAAGCCAGTTCCATAATCTCCACTCTGCAGCACAGAGACCAAGAACTGAAATCTACAATCTGGTTTTACTACTAGTAGCTTCTGTGAGGCTCTGAAGTTCAAATACAGCTTTGTAAGTTGGACAGCAGGCAAATATTGTTTTCCACAAAATCCCCTCAACTAGACTCTTACTCATTCATCTCTGGCTCATTAAAGGGCAGTGTCTGAATCTGTCCAATCTGTCCAGTCTTGAAGTTGAAGACATTCACTGTGTCCATTTCAACATCATAGATGTAGATTTTGGAATCAGGGCTATTGTCAACCTAGGAACGAGAAGACATAATGATCAGGGATTGGAGAGGGCTTTAGGGCCTGTGCCCATGGAACTGACACAGCATATATTTCAGAAAAATCACCTGTCACCAGCCGCCAGTAAATGGCACACCACCAGAATAATAATTTAGTTCTTTATTAAGCTCATTGAAATAGTTTTGTAGTTACTACTTTGCAATTTCAGACACCTGGAACAAAATCTAAAAAGTTGTACCTGCTCTTGGTTTTGACTAGAGATTTAAAGAAAAAGAAAGGAAGAAAGAAAGACAAGGTGTCACTATATACCTTGGATGACTTGAACTAGGCTGGCCTTGAACTTACAGAGATCCATGTGATAGAATACTATTTTAAGGTGTGTGGCTTTTGTTTATGCTGCATTTGTTTAACTCTTGAAGCTGTGTTACTGTGCCTGTCTAACACACCTGATGGTCTAAGAAAGAGCTGAATGGTCAATAGTGAGGCAGGAGCAAGGATAGATGGGGCTGGCAGGCAGAGAGTATGAACAGAGAAAGGAGAAGCAAGAGGAGAGAGGACATCAAGAGTCAGCCACCCAGCCACCCAGCCACCCAGCCACAGAATAAGAAGGAAAGTAAGATTTTCTGAAGAGAAAGATAAAAGTTCAGAGGCAAAAGGTAGATGGGATTATTTAAGTTAAAAAAAATTTTTTTGGCAAGAAACAAGACAAGGTAAGGCCCGGGCATTCCGTACTACGAATAAGCCTCTGTGTGTGGTTTATTAGGGAACAGAGTAGCAAGGTCCCCTCAAAAAGAATAAAAAAGACAAAAGAGTAAAACACGGCACAACAGATGCACCGGCCTCTACCTCCTGAGTGCTGGGGTTTAAGGCATGTGCCATCATGTTCATCCTGGAGATGTTTTCTTAGCGGAGGTAGACTAACCAAGGGACTCACAGGGAATCTGGCTATGACAAAAATAACATTCATACAACTTCACAAACGAAATAAACTTCACAAAGATGGGGTGAGGACCATTCCCATTTGGCAGCCGACACATAAAGCCGAGAGGAGTATTGCTAGCAAAGGCCAGGAGCAGAGGGCAGGAAAGCTGGCCGCTACGGCTGTGCTGCCTGCTGCTCACAGCTACGAGGAGCTTCCAAGGCGGTGGCTCCAGTCTAAATTCATAGTTGTGGACAGTCACCAAGTGAGCATCATAGACCAATAGAGAAGATGTGGTCTGTCGAAACAATTCAGGCACAGAGAGAATAAGCACTGACACATGCTGCCACAATGGATGAGCCCCAAAATGCTACAGTGGGTGAAAGAAGCCAGAATCACAATGCAACACGCTATATGACATGTCCAGAACAAGAAAATCCAGAGATAGTAAGCAGGCCTGTGGTTGCCAGGAGCTAAGATGGGTGATGGGATTGGCATGCTTCTTTAGAATGAAGATGTTTGGGACCAGACAGAGGGAGTGGCTGTACTACTTACCTCAAATGTACCAAGGGCCACCACATTGCTCAGTTTAAATGGTTAATTTTGTTATATGACTCTCATCTCAAATTTTTAGAGAACCTATTTTAAGATAAAGAAATGTCAGCATGCCCAAAGGGCATCCTGAGTCTGTTTTGAAGTAGAGGAAGAAGTGTGGCTAAGCAGTGACAACAGGCCCACCTGAGGGTTCTTTACGTGCCATCTCTGAAAACTGCATCTGGACCCTGTCCCTCACAAGAGAATGCTCAGTAAGCGGCTCTGGAAGCAAAAGAAAGCAAGGTGGATCCTGGTTCTGCCCTGGGTTCAGGCTTAGCTGCTCTGAGTTTTCCAGGCTCAGAAGCTGCAGAGCTGAGGTTCTGGTGACCCTGGCTGCCTCTAGCTCATGACTACACAAAGATTCCTTTCTTTCTTTCTTTCTTTCTTTTTTTTTTTTTTTTGCTTCTGCTGAGTACTGGGATTAAAGGCGTGTACCACCACTGCCCAGAAAAGATTTCTTTAAAACAAAAAACCAACAGCAAAAAGAGATTTATTTGATTATGTCTGCATATGTAGCACATGTGTGTCTGGTGCCCACAGAGGTCAGAAGAGGCAGTCAGATTGAGCTAAGGATGGTTGTGAACCTGGTGAGGTGGGTACTGGAACAGAACCAAGGTTCTCCATAAGAGCAACAAGTACTCTTAACCTAGGAGCCATCTCTTCAGTCTCTACATAAGGATTTCTGAGGCACAGGGATGTTCTCTCCTCAGTTTCAAATGTTCCCTACTGAGATGTAGAGGAGTCTCTGCTGCCTGCATCACACTTCTGACACTGTGTCTTTATCTTCTTTGTATTACTTTGACACCATTGTGGGACTCTCCCATCCCTTCCTCCCTTGTTCCAGACAAGCTGCCATTAGGGTCAGGATCCTGAGCTGCAGCAATTATTAGGCTGGTGGTGCATTTTAAGATTAGGTCAGGGAACTTGCAAAACACAACGCATAATGATGTTACCACTATAATCTTACCATTTCTCATTCTCTTTTGATTACTTGCAAGGGAGAATATCATGTACATGTACATACAAGAAGCCGAGGAAAGGGAAGAGCTAGGCTCAATCCCCCACTCCTCGCCTTCTCCCGTGTCCACCAGCCTTTGTGTTCTGTTAACTCGGTGTCTTCCTCAAAGCTTCCACCAATGGGCACAATCTGAAAGGCAGCCAGCTCAAGCTCACAAAGCAATGATGAGGAAACACATATCCAGAAGGAAACTTTATTCTAGCAGGCACGAGAATCATAAATAGAATGTGACGTCCTTAAAAAGGCAAGATGAAATTCTGCAGAAACTTCAGACAAAAGACACTGTAGGCTTAACAGTGGCAGAAGAAACTGCCACCCTTTCTGGTGACAAAGAGTTTGGCTGGGTGACAAAGAAGACAAGCAAAAGGACAAGGATCTCTGAAGAAGTCACCCCTGTGTCTGATGAAAACAAAGGAAGGCAGGAAAAGATGGATGTAAGATGTAAGAACAGAGAGTATATGTCGGTTGTGATGGATGGTGCACACCTTTGATCCCTGCACTTGGGAGGCAGAGGCAGGAGGATCTCTGTGAGCTGGAGGCCAGCCTGGTCTACAGAGAGAGTTCTAGGACAGCCAAGGTTACACAGAGAAACCCTGTCTAGAAACAACAACAAAACCAAAAACAAGCTAACAAAACACCAACCAACCAACCAAACAAACAAAAAACGAAGTGTGTATCAAGAAAGCAGACCCTATACCTCTAGTGGGCAGCACAATAGAGCCAACCCTATTAGTGTAGGTGTGGGTGAGCCAGTCCTGAAGTTGTGAGCATGGGAAAGCTGTCCCCATCACTCATCTGTCATGTGGTGGAATGGGCAGGGAAGGATACCACTAAACCCCTCCCACCCATCAATGCAGGAGACAGGTGGGAGACCTGGACCTGCCTCTTATCAGCTGCAGCATTCAGAAGAATGCCCCAACACCAGACCTGGGCAACACCCTGAAGGTGTAGGTGTGGGGGATTTGACCCTGAGGACATGAAAGCAGGACAACTGGCCCTACCCTTTGCTTTTGCTGCAAGGGATGAACTTGGCAGGGTAAAACAGGAATGCTCACCCTGGTGGTTCAGAACAAGGGAGAGCTGGTGGGCTGGTGGGCTAACCAACCCTGCAACTACTCAGGCCCAGAACTAGGGTTGCGTTGGCCACCCCAATATCCACCCCATCTGTGATCTGCTGGAGCAAGTGAAGGGACCGGTCCTGAGGACCCAAACCTTCAGGATCTCCACAGCACAGGGCAACAGCAGGATAACAAAGAGGAGTTCCAGGGAGGGTCCAACATTGATAGGGTAGCAGAAACCAGAGGCCTTGAACCAGACCAATGACTTTCTGCAATGAACACTTACAAGTAAATATATATGGATAAAAGGGTTTACTGCGGGACTCACTGTGTCACACTACCATTTCCATAACAAGACTGATTTTTTTCTTCTTCTTTTTCCTTTTAAATTTTGTTTCACTTTGGAGGGAGATTGCAAGGGCAAAGGGTGGACATGAAGGGATGGGGAAGTGAATGGGATAGAGACGCATGATGTGAAAGACACATGGAATAAATAAAAAACCAAAACCACCACCACCACCAATAAAACAGAGTGTGTGCCAAGACAGAAGCAGGCAGCAGGCAGGAGAGAGCTGATGGAAGATGGAAAATTGATGAGGGGGGTGAAGAGGTTACAAGGAAGGCAAGACATAAAGACCCAGAAGACCTACTGAGGAAAGTATTCCAGCCAAAGGCACAGCCCCTCTCCACGAGGCCCTTCATATGGACAGCAGAAGGCTAGCAGTGATGTCGGCCTTACCTTGCTAAGGAGGATGCTGATCTTGTTCCCATTGGCATTGCACCTCAGAGACGTGATATTCCCCACATCAGGGATGAGTTGGGCCAGGTTCTTAGAGCTGCAGTGCACTTTTGCTTCCCTATGTGAGACCAGGAGAACAAAGAATGACCTCAGCATCAGGCAGAGATCCCTTCTTGGCACTAATTTCTCTGACTGCTGAGACTTTGACATACAGGGTGTTCTGTTCAGCTCACTGCTTCTCACCTTGTGCACTGAACCCCTAGCAAAGGGAAGGGAAGGGTAATTTTTAGAACCAATAATGGTCTCTTCTAAATTAGAAAAAAGAGGTGTCACATGAGATTAGAACCTAAGACTTTTTGACACTGTTTCAATTTTCTGTCTACTAAATTGTCTCATAATTTCAAGAAATTAATACTTCTGTTTGGATGAAAACTGTACCTTCTGGAAAGATCAAAGCTTTTAAAGTGAGCTAAATCTGTCCCTGCAACCAGGAAGGTCCCACAGACGTCTAGGAAGCAGGGGCTCCCCTCAGTCTCAGAGAACAGGAGAAGTTGTTTGACAGTTCCCTGGGGAAAGAAGAACAAGTTTAGCTGTACACTTGCATGGTGCCCCATTCCTCTCCTTTCATTCACCCACTAAGTGATCACTAATGGGCCAGCAAGCATCTAAACTAGGGTTGGTTCCGTAGGAAGACAGGCCCCTGTCTCAGTACAGTCTTGGGGCTACACGCCTCAGGTCAAGGACCAAGATACACAGGCTCCCAGCTGAGACGTGCTCTATGGTCACACACAGGATGATGGAATGAAGCAAGGGTAGACGGATGGTGACCTCCGTCCCTGTGGGTTGGTCTGGGTGGGCACTGTGTTCCAAAAACACTTCTCACATTGTCAGGGTTAGGTGCATGGTCATCTGGGTGCTAAGATGAGGGAAGGATGCTCTACCAGAATCTTTGTCACATTCTGGACATATGCCACGTTTGGAAGGCAATTCACAAAGCTCCACACTCATATTCGTATTTTCTGCATTTTACATTTATTTACTTAGAAAGATTTATTTATTATGTATACAGTATTCTGTCTGCATGTACACCTGAAGGCCAGAAGAGGGCACCAGATCTCACAGCAGATGATTGTGGGTTGCTGGGAATTGAACTCAGGACCTCTGGAAGAGTAGTCAGTGCTCTTAACAGTGAACTACCTCTCCAGCCCCTGTATCTTACATTTTGGTAAAATATTTAAGAGATTAATGTCTATTCTGGGGACAGTGTTTAAAATGAGGTGAACCAGGAAGAAGGTGGCTATCAGAAGAACCCAGAACTGAACAAGTGTCTCTGTGTTGTGGACCCTTCAGTCTGGTATGGGTGCAAGAGTGAGCGAGCAATGGAGAGAGCAGAATGCTTTGAGGGAGGCAGGTGGAGCAGAGGTCATATGGGTACATTACCACAGGAAAGGGGGCAGTACTCCCCAGCTCAAGCTTTCCTACCTGCTCTGTGTCCACCTCTCAGGTCCCACAAGTCTAGCCTGTTTTGAGGAAGAGGAAGTACCCCACTTCTTCCTCCTCTGAGAGAGTCCACTACCTCTCACAACTCACTGTCTGAACCAGAACCCTCAGAGCCTCTTCTTCTGATTAGATCTACCAGGACTCCACCATCCTTCACCAACTCCCTCGTCTTTTCACTATGCAAACACAGAGGTTATATTGTAATGAAAACCCAACACATAACCAAGAAGAGGCAACCCAAAATCTATCCTACTTCTGCTGGCATCAACATCAGCCTACCACTCTCCTGCCTCACTTCCAGTCTGCCCAGGGCTCTGGCTTCAGCCTTGACACATATTACCCATACCTGGACCCTCACTAAAGGTAATGGTGCAGGAAAATGGAAAGGAAGTATCTGAAGTCACCTTATCACTAAGCCAGACATAAGAGAGAGATGGGAGGGAATGTGAGAGAGACCACTAGCACTTCCTCACTGACCACAACCAACACACATGCCTTCTGTAAGGTAAAAATGGCAGATGGGCTGGAGGTGTGGCTTAGTGTACAGTGTATGAATGAGGTATGGCTTCTATCCAAACACTGTACTGAAAAACAAAAAACAACAGGGGGGGTTGGAATATCAGGAGGAAAAGTATCTAACTCCATGCCTGCTGTTGTTCCTATAGACAGGCTCCTTTTCCAGTTTCCTGCATAACCCAGCATCCATAGCTCTGTACTCTTATACAGCTTCTCCTTAGCCTGCCATAAAGAACAGTGTTCTCCTCTCATCTCTGTGTCCACTACTGACACCCATTTGCAACAAGTCAGAGTGGGCAAGACACAGCCCAGGATGGCAGGAGGCACTTAGCTCTGGATGCAGGCTGTCCAGTAGGCCCCGAACCCCTGCCTTCTCTTGGACATATAGGCTGTAGGAAAACATGGCATCACAAGTTCTAGACCAGAGCCCATTACTTCTTTACATCTTCCCAGGAGGGTGCAGGGACCACATGGTGCTTCCTTGTCACATCTGCACAGTTCAGTCTCACACTAGGAGTTCTGCCTGTCCCTGTCTTCACTCTGGCTGCCTGCAACCTAGAAATAACAACCTTATGGCAGGGGCCTGGATGAGCAGCATGTGAGGTACAAGATCATGGATATGGCAATTCTAGTGAAGTGCACACACTAGGTTCCAAAAAACAACTCAAAATCCCACATAAAAATCACACCAGCGGCCGGGCAGTGGTGGCGCACGCCTTTAATCCCAGCACTCGGGAGGCAGAGGCAGGCAGATCTCTGTGAGTTCGAGGACGGGCTGGACCGACAGCCTCCAAAACAATACAGAGAAACCCTGTCTCGTAAAACCAAAAAAAAAAAAAAAAAAAATCACACCAGCACAGAGGCTATGGCTCAGTTAATAAAGTGCTTGTGTCACAAGTGTGAGGATATAAATTTGGATCCTGGAAACCCACATAAAGCTAGGCATCCTGACGTGCCCTGAATCCCAGTGGTGGGCAGATGGGTTGAACAGCTGCCTCCCAAAAGATCCATTTTCTTGAAATGCTACTGTAAAAGAGTTTTTGAATATGTAAGTAAATCAAGGATTTGTTTATTTTTATGGTTCTGGGGATTTACCTCAGGGCTCTGCCCAATCCAGACACTCTACTAATCTACACTCCCAGGCCCAAGACTTTTAGATGAACTAATTCTGCATTAGAACGAGTCCTAAAACCACTCTGTTTTCTATGCTCTGAATGGAGCCTAGGGCATCCTCTATGCTAAGCACATAGACCACCACTGAACTATATACCCTAGAGAAAGGATGCTATTTTTGTTTATTTGTTTTAAAGACATTTATTTTGCTGGGCAGGGTGGCACACACTTTTAATTCCAGCACTTGGGAGACAGAGGCAGGCAGATCTCTGTGAGTTCAAGGTCAATCTGATCTACAGACCAAGTTCCAGGACAGCCTTCAAAGCTACAGAGAAACCTTGTTTTGAAAAACAAAACAAAACAAACAAACAAACAAAAACCACCAAAATTTATTTTATGTGTATCCATGTTTTAACCACACGTATGTCTCCATACTACATATATGTCTGGTGCCCTTAGAGCTCAGAAGACAGTATCAGATGCTATGGATGATTGAGAGCCACCATGTGGGTTCTAGGAACAGAACCTGGTCCTCTATAAGAATATGTTCTCTTAACTGATGGGCCATCTTTCCAGCTTCTGAAAGTGTTTTCATCAGACATGAAGAGAAGACACAGATATAGAAAGATGTCATGTGAAGCACAGAGCAGAGGGAAACCTCTGTAAGCCAGGGACACTGGGGATTGACAGCACTACTAGCTCCTGAAAATTGAGAGGCAGGCACAGATTCCCTGGTAAAGCTTTCTGAAGGAACTTGGCCCGACCAACCTCGATTCAGGATTTGATTTCCAGAACTGTGAGAGAACAAGCTTCTGTTGCCTTAAGCCAGTGGTTTGTGAAAATCTTTGGTAGCAGTTACAGCAAGTTAGTGTTGTGTCAGTTCTGGGTTCTGGCGTCACAGTGGGATGCAGACAGACCAGATACAGCACACAGATGCTGTGCTGGAGGTCTCTCACTGTAAGAGGCCAGCACTGCTCCATCTGGCCTCACCCTCACTCACAGTCAGGGGGAGGCTCATCCAGAAATATCATACAAACTGATAGCATAAAACCCTCAGTAGGTTTTTAAACCAACAAGCATTTCCTCCCATTTCATAGCCCAGTATAGTCAAGGTTCATGGAAATGGACTTTCCCCTGAGAAACGCTCTAACCCTGCCTCCCTATTTCAGAGGTCACAGCATGGATGGGGAAGCCACACCAGAACCCATTTCCAGTGAGCCACCTGATTGGAAAATAGGACTTAGGAACACAAAACAGCATTTTCAACTTGATTGTAACTTTATCATCATAGTCACTGTCGATAGTCACCTACCTGCCAGGTCCGCACTTGAATTCGGTTTGGCTCCACTGTATAAATGCTTTCTTCATGCATTGCTAACACTGATGTTTCACAAAGGAACGTCCCTGAAATGAAAGATGAACATCAGATGAGCATGAGCATGGCAGAAGTGCCTTGTGTAGAGTCCCTCGTCAGCTCGGTCCTCATGACAGCTCCTTGAGAATATCTTAGCTCCATGAATCTCATAGATGAGCAGAATAAAAAAGGAAAACAAAAGCAAAACACTAAAAATATAAAACCAAGAAATAGGAAAACACAATGAAAAAGAAGTGACCCAAAAGAATATTTGCCCTGAACATAGGGAACTAGATAGGCTCCTGGGGCCCTAGTTCTGGCCTGGGGATTCAACATCCACCCTGCTCACTAGACTTTAGCTCTTCTTCCCCTGCTTGAAGGTGCTCACGCAGCCTTGTTAGCAGTTCTGGAGCCCAGGAGGATTTGCTGGTGCAGAGTCTCATATTTCTGAAATACATTGACCACGTCACAGGATGCAGTCTTAAAGCCCTGGCTGTGGGGCCAGGGCTACAGCACTGGTTCTAGTCACTCAGGCATAGGAATGAGAGCTGGCATGAGGGTCTTGCTAGCTCTGTGCCAATCCCCTTACTCTGCAATAGAGGGCGAGGCAAAAGCAGGGATGTAGAGACTGTTCTGGGTGTGAATAGAGTCTAACCTGCATTCCTTAAGGTAGATCCAGAAGGTTCAAAGACGGCCACTTGTTTTCCATTCCAGACAGCCACAGCATCCTAAAATGAACATGGGTGTCCAAAGGCAGAGATAAGGAGTACAATGAAGACCACAGACCCGCTACACATTCCTGAAGCCCGCCTTCTTCCCTCATCACTGAGTGTTATGATGGGAGCCCAGTTTCAGGTCACCCAGTCTCCCATGGATGCAGGTTACAAATAAAATGCCTGTGGGTGTTTAGTATTTTTTAAAATAAATATGATATACATGGACACTCAGGATGGATTAAGCTGTCACCAAGTCCCCTTGCTGTTCTGAATTACCCTAATGACCTAGCAGTCAGATCTTTTGGTTACATTGAAGATCCTCTTCTAACACCCACAGACCACCCTTGGTAGTCAGTCACCTTGGTGGCAAAGACTCCACTGATGTGCATATCAGTACGCAGGCTATGTGTGCTCCCCGTGGACAGGAAAGACACATTGACTAAGCTTGGGGAGATTTGCACAGCAGCTACTTGCTGGTGGAAGTGCGATGACATGGCTTGCTCACTGAGGATGGACACAGAGTCGACACTGCTCACTGCCAGAAGGTTCTTCCTGGAGCCCCACTTCAGTACCAGGTGGGGAGAATCGCATCCATAAACAAAACGTGAGAGATACAGTCAGGAAGTATATACATGCTTCCTAGGAGAGCCCACAAGCCACTTCTTGTTATTTTAAAAAACAACTTAAAAACCTTTAAAGAGGTAAAATATGTACTTTATAGAAACATTCTAAAATACTGCTAGACATGAGCTGTGAACTGGCAGGCAGACACCTGTGTGGTTGTTCTACCTAGAGTCTGCTCTAACTGCAGGGCATCTGCTAGGAATTTGCCATTCTGATTACAACATATCCATATTTATTATTTTATGTGAATTTATAGACAATTTTTATCATTAAATTATCTAGATTTCTTCTGCTGGTGAGAAAGAAATGTTAGTTTCCAACTTCAAGTCAATCTGAAATGCTCAGTTTTCACAAATAATTAAGAGCCATGTAGAAGATCAGAATATGGCCAAAAAATATTATCAGAAGTAGCTCTGTGAAAGGATCCAGATGATGCTGGACTTCAAAGAAGCTGTAATAAATATAGTCACGAACATAAGCATCCTATTGCAGTACTACAAGGTATGATGATTCTGTCTCATCAGAGAGTGTCAACAAGTGACAAATAAAGACAAAATGCTCCCAAGAAATGAACCCTATGTCTATATAAAACCCTGAACACATGTTGACAGCAGTATCATTCATAACTGCTCCAAATCAGAAGCAGAAAGCTGTGGTCTACCCGTGCAATGGGGAAGTCAGCCATAAAGAGGGAGCACTGAAACCTGCTGTGACATGGGAGAACCAGGATGTCAGGGAACAAAGACACAAAGAGTGGATTTTTGTTTTTGTCTTTGTCATTCAAGACAGGGTTTCTGTGTGTAGACCTGGCTGTCCTGGAACTCAAAGACCTGCCTCTGCCTCTGCCTCCTGAGTGCTGGGATTAAAGGTGTGCACCTTCTTGTTTCTTAAACACAGGCTTTCCTCAAACTTGTGAATTCAATGACGATCCTGCCTCAACCTTCTAAGTAACTGGGGCTATAGGCATGAACCACCATACCTGACTTAAGTATTTTCCTTCCCCACTCCCCCAAGACAGGGTTTCTCTGTGTAGCCCTGGATGTCCTGCAACTCACTCTGTAGACCCAGGCTGGCCCTGAACTAAGAGATCCACCTGCTTCTGCCTCCTGAGTGCTGAGATTAAAGGTGTGTGCTGCCACCCCCATTTAACCCAAGCTGGTCTCATGCCTCAGGTTCCTAAGGATTGGGCTTACATATCTATATAATTTCTTGTTAGTATTATTGAATAACTGATTTAAAAAAAAGGTTCCAAGTTAATTATGTTCTCCATTTGGTACAGCAGACAATGAGTGCACCAAATGTGATACAGAGCTGATTACTGTACCTTTATTTGTGTGATGTTTCCTTCAAGCTCAGTAGGTGTTTGAAGGGCCCACATGTCCTTGCCCTCAACCCCCCTGCCACTTGGGAAGTTTGGCACTTTTTTCCATAAGGCTACTCGCCCTTTATTGGTCCCAGCTGCCAGAAGACCTACAGGAAAAAGCAAAGCACATGTTGCTTGTTGAGAAAGATTTAAAAGCTGCTGGTGGATGCTGTTTTCTGCTTCCAGTCTGCCTTACTCAGGCTGCTTCCCCAATGCTCCACTACTGCCAAGCACTCAGCAGGGCTAACTCAGTAACGTTCCTCTCCTAGCTTTCTGTCCTTGGTATTTGCACTCATGCATTTGCATACTTTCCCCAGTGCACAAACACTACCCATACCATGAGAAGTACAGGCAGGCCTCAAGTATATAACATCAGCATCACTCTTTTGGTCAAACCTTTTGAACATTATGTAAAATAAGAAGGTTTCGTTGTTACTTGTTCATCTTTGACCAACTGATAATAACAACTTACTTATCTTTCTTTTTTAAAAACAGTACCTCACTGCCAGGGGTCCCACAAACAAGGTGGAGGTGGGCCTTGGACATGCATCAACTGAATGTACCAGGCTTTGTTGACTGCCCATGGGAGGCCTTACCCTTTCTGAGGAGTGGATGAGGGAGGGTTAAGGGGAGGTGGGGGGAGGGACAGGAAGGGGAACTGTGGTTGGTATGTAAAATAAATTTTTAAAAAAGCTCACCTTGCCGGGCATTGGTGGTGCACGCCTCTAATCCCAGCACTCAGGAGGCAGAGGCAGGTGGATCTCTGTGAATTCGAGGCCAGCCTGGACTACAGAGCGAGTTCCAGAACGGCCTCCAAAACAATACAGAGAAACCCTGTCTCGAAAAACGAAAAAAAAAAAGCTCACCTTAGAAACAAATTTGAAAATAGATTTTAGGTTTTGAGGGGGGAAAAACACCCCAAATCCAGTATCTCACAGGCTGGAGAGATGGCTCAGCGGATAAGAGCACTGGCTGTTCTTCCAGAGGTCCTGAGTTCAAGTCCAGCAACCACATGTGGCTCACAACAGTCTATCATGGGGTCTGACTCATATACATAAATAAAAAAAGTACCTCCCTATGACTATGTAGTCTTTGCTGGCCTGGAACCCACAATATAGACCTTGAACTCAAAGATATCCACCTGCTTTGCCTTCTGAGTGCTGGAATTAAAGGTGTGTGCCACCGTACCCCACTTCCATTTTTTGAATAAGCTCTAAATCTCACTATAACTTATTTTTTTCTTAACACGATGATTGAAGTTGTTTCTGTTCTTCTCATGTCAGGTCAAGAAATCTCACCTTTGGTTTTACAGAAACAGACACAGTTTATATTCTCTCCCTTTTCAAAGCCAAACTTCTCTTGTGGACTCAATATGTAATTCTCTCCTCGTTCTAAGTCCCAGAATCTGCAATAGAAAGAGAAAAGTCATGGGAAGGGTTATACTAGTGCCCTCCTCTGACCTGAGGACTGCCTGGGAAGAAAACTCTGAGCCGTGCTCTACAGACTCCTAATACAAAAAAGAAACCTGATATTATACTGTTCGTGATTAAAAAGGGTGATTATTAAAGGGTAGTTTTATGTGGCATTAGAAGAAGAAGAGAACATAGGAATCCCAGCTACACACAGTAACAGTGAACATTATGTTAAACATTATGAGTGGCCAAAAAGATACCAGAATGCCTGTTTCTATTTATGCCAATCTTAAGAAACTATGCAGAACTAGGTTTGGAGTATACACCTATAGTCCTAGTTACTTCAGAGGACGAGGCAGGAGCTGTGCTTGAGCCTAGGAGCCAGACACTAGCATAAACAGTAGCATAAAGACCCTGTATCAAAAACAAGTTTCCCCCAAACCAGGCAAAGTGATTCTAAGGGCAGATGTGATCTAGTCATGCTCCTGAAGGCATGGGGGAAAGCAGGAAGGTCAGATTGAGTAGATGAGGACTCTTGGACTGCCATTGCTTAGCTTCATAGAGCTGTCTAATATGCAAAAATTCATAACAATGTGCATTATCCATGTGTATACAAAAGAGTCCGTTCCAGACAGGATTTTCCAAGGATCTGCATGGGAAGACAAGCTCTCACCTGAGCACTGGTTCCCCGACGGCTGTGACAAGAAGGCTGCCCTCTATCAAAGTGATATCTGCCCGGCGGCCGGTTTTCCCACTCAACTTTACCTATATGTGGAAAAAAGCAACTTAAAAGCAGCACAAGGCTCTTGCCAAGATGCCTGATGAAAATGTGTTAGCCTGACATCTGGTCTTCAGTGGCATCACTGAGACTCACCGAGGGGCCACAACACAGGGCAAATAGTGGAAATGGAAAGCTGGCCTCTTTTTAAGGGGTGGGACTGGAGAGATGCCCTTACCCAGGCCTGTTCAGAGACACTGGAACAGCTTTCACTTTCCTCACTTACACTGATAGCCTAGAGTAAGAAGTGACACTGAATAGCGAGGCTAGCTGCTCTTTCAGCAAGTGACAGCCTTCAGCCTTGCTAACCAAGAGAGAAAGACAGTCAAGACAGGCAAGAATCTTTCGAATAAGCCAGTAGCCCTGCTGGTTCAGCATCTTGCTCTTTCACCTACCTTCATTACTTCTTCAGCTTCCCCCTCAGGAGTCACCACATAGAGAGACAAGAGGAGGTTCTGTGTAACCACAACCAGTGCTTCTCTCTTCTCAATGTAGAACAGCATCTGGATGGAGCTATCTGTGGATGCCACCTGGGCAGTCTTGCCCTTTTCATCCACATAGTGCACTGTCCCTGCGGAAAGAGGTGGCTCCTGGCTCATCTGTCTTTCAATGGTACCCATGAGCAACAGTTTCTATCTGCTTAAGGATGCTCTCACAATAGGCCCATCATCTTTCTAAGAACTTAAGACATTTGCTACAATGTTTCTTAGGCTACCATCTCTGACAGATCCCTGTATTTCCTGCTAGTATAGCTGACTCTGTGGATTCTCCGCCTCCCCAGCTCCTCCAGTCTCCTCTTTCTCCTCTCCAGCAGTGGGTAGTTCTAACCATCCCACTCTGGCACCCACTTTCACTCCCCCAGCAGCCTTCAGTCCCCCTGCTCCCACTCCACTGTGAGACCCCCTCCATCTCTCTCTATCCAGCTTAACCAGGCCACAGTTCTCCCTTTGTGAGAGGTTGCTGGGGTGCACAGCCTGGCTAGGGTACATGCCTCCCCACCTAGACTCCTCCTCGTCCTGCCCTGCCCTGAACAACCACTTCAACACTGGTCAGCACCATCTGGTCTGACTCCTTTGTTTCTTCTTAGGTGACTGAGGGTGGGTGAGTTCCCAGGATTCTCTGGCTCAATTCTGAAGGTCTTCAAGGGCCTCCATATGAGACCTTTTTGTCCTCTGGTCTCATCTTATTCTCCATGGATAACTTGAGTTCTCATTAAATAGAAAGTTCACATTCTAAGTTAATTTTAATAATATTTAATAAGAAGTTATGGAGTAGGGTCATTAGACAATAAGACAGCAGACACTAATATAATCCCCATCTTCCAGAGAGGGAAATTAAAGCACATACATGATCTTGCACCCTAAAACCCACATCCTGGGGGGTAGGCAGAGCTTATGTCTAGATCTTCCATAGCACTTCCAAGGTACCAGCATCATTAATTCCATCTCAGTTCTCATCCCAATACCCTCTCCCTGCCCCATGGTGATGCACCCAGTTGGATATTCCCTGTGGGACTTCCTCAATTGTCCCTCTCCACTGACTCTCTTTATCTTCTAAAATGAAAGGTTTTTCCTATTCAGAAATTATGAACCCCATGACTTATTACAACATCAGCAGCCTCCCTTCTCAAACCCAGCCACCTCCTATGGTTCTCATTTCCTGGGAAAGGTACCACACCTGACTGTCACTCTTTCTCATTAGCTTCAAGGTGTACTTGTTTCAGCCCTGGCTGGGAAGTGTGTCTCCTGTTTATACTGAGAACAAGTGATATTAAAATCAACAGCTGGTATAGCTATAATTTCAGCACTCAGGAAGTTTAAGGCAGGAGGGATCCAAGAGTTTATGCTCAGACTAGGCAAAAACAAAAACAGAAACAAAATTGCAAAAATAGGTAAAAATACAATGAGCAGATGGTGCTTAATAGCAGCCTCTGTGAGGGCTAGCTACAGGCTACAAGGGCAAACTGTCATTGTTATGCTTCATTCTCAAGAACACATCTGGATACATCAAGTACTTGATAATTATGCATGCTGAATAACAGGGGAACACGAACCCGAAAAGAACCTTCCAAAACCATCTCTGCTGTTAAGCAGTCAGTGCTGAGTTGTTGATTAAAAGCTTCAGGAGAGCTGGGCGTTGGTGGCGCATGCCTTTAATCCCAGCACTCGGGAGGCAGAGGCAGGAGGATCTCTGTGAGTTCGAGACCAGCCTGGACTACCAAGCGAGTTCCAGGACAGCCTCCAAAAGCCACAGAGAAACCCTGTCTCGAAAAACCAAAAAAAAAAAAAAAAAAAAAAAAGCTTCACGAGGTTGGGTGGTGGTGGTAGTGGTGGTGACAACAGTGGCGGCGGCAGAGTGTCCAGCACTCGGGAGGCAGAAGCAGGCAGATCTCTGTGAGTCTGAGACCATCCTGGTCTACAGAGTGAGTTCCAGGACAGCCAAGACTACACAGAGAAACCCTGCCTCAAAAAACCAAAAAGAAAAAAGGGGAAAAAAAAGCTCTGTGAGGGCAGGTGTGGAGGCACACACCTTTAAACCCAGCACTTGGGAGGCAGAAGCAGGTGACCAGACTGGTCTACACAGCATGTTCTCGGTCTGCCAGGGGTACATAGTAAAGACCCTGTTTCAAAAACAAAACAAAACAAACAAACAAACAAAAAACAAATCCCCAAACCAAAACATTATCAATGAGAAAAATTAATAAACCAATCAACCAGATAAAAATCTTAAAAACTTCTTTCTGAGCAGGGCATGGACAGTGGTATATGCCTATAGTCCCAATATTTAGGAGATTGTGGTAGCAGAAAGATCATAAATTGGAGGCAAGCCTAGGTTACATAGTGAGACCTATTGCAAAACAAAGCAAATAAAAACAACAACAAAACCCCCCCAAAAAACAAAACTTCTTGAGGAAAACCCTTCAAAACAAATTAAGATGGTCTGTTCTCATCTCTGCTAGAACAAGCACAGCACCATCTAATCAGGAGAACATTCAAGGAGCCCAGCGTGCAGAGATATTCACCGAGGTCTGTCTTCATTTCACACAGAAGCACTGCTGTCAGCCTAAAATCTCTTTGGATGAAACCTACAATTACATCCCAAGTTGCTCACCATCCATCAGACTGACAAAGAAAGACAGCCCCTCTTGAGACCCCGTCTTCAGGAAACTTCCAAAGCTGCTCTTTCTCCAGTTAAACATGTCCAGGGCTTTTTCATCACCACTTACAGCTGCCTTTGCCAATTGAACTAGATCCCTGAGAGTAAAGGATACAGTAGTCAAGATTTCTAGAAGACTTGGGACTGGGTCCACCTGGGTCAGGAGCCATACACCCCACCCCCAGGATGAAGGGTGGGATAAGCCAGACCTCGTGGGGCTTCCTGCTTACTCTCCAGGAGGAGGGAGGCGGAAGATGCAATGGGTGAGTGGTTTCCCATATTCGTGTTTCAGGAGCGGTGTCCCTTGTACTCGGCCCCGCTGGTCCAGTCTCCACAAGAGCAGGACCCCAAGCTGCAGGAGGTCAACAATATGTGTAAGGAACACTGGTTGGAGGTGAACCAATAACTAGAATAACACAACACTGGCGATTCCTTGTTCAAAAACATTACTGTACTACATGTGCACCATGGAAATGCCAAACTATTCAAAAGTATATAGAACCACAACTCTTCCCTGTGCCCTCTCCTCTTCCTCACTCCTAGAGAGCAGCTGTCATGTGCTCAGAAGGTGCTGCTAACTTTAGAAGAGATTCTGATTCACAGGAAGATTATATAGACAGCACAGAGTTCCTATGTATGACTCCAGTTTCCCCTACTACTATACTGAAAGGTGCACTTCTAGCAGTTGATGAGCTAGGGCTTGGGATACAGCTTGGCAGTAGAGTGTTTTCTTAGTACACACAAGCCTTGGATTCAGTCTCTAGTGCTCCCACAGGAAAAAAAAAAGAAGCACTTGACTGGAATTAATGAGCTAATATTTATATCACCACCAAGTCCACAGTACTTCATTCAGAGTTCTTCAGTTTCCCTTTCTATCCCTTTTCTGTCCAAGGAGCCTGCCTAGGACTCCACATGACATTAGCTGTCATGTCTTCTTAGGCTCCTGTGGACCATGATTTCTTCAGTGTTCCATTTGCTTAGCATTAAGGTCCTGCTCAGGTACAGTATAGGGTGCTGCACCTCTGGGATTTATCTGACATTTTCCCCATAGCTGGATGGGATTATATGTTTGTTAGGGCAGGACCAGAAAAGCAGATGTTGACCATCACCCCTTGTAGAGGTAGCTTTTACCTGTTGTAAAGTGACTTTTCCCTCCCTTTCTATGCTATACTCCTGAGAAAGAAGGATGCAGTATGCACTTCTCATTTAAGGGGTGGGAGCTAAGGCTGACGTATCTACAGAAATCATTTGGTATTCTTCAGCATAAGAGATTTGTCTCCTTTCTATCATTTGTTTACTAATAAACATGTGTTTATATCAACAATGACTCTTAGGTATTTATTTCCTGCTTTGGTTATAATCTAAATGCTGTTTACTCTGTTGCTGAACTCATGTGTTCAATCTGGAAGTCATCAAAAGCTCAGATCAATTACATAGGTTAGTGCTAGAGAAGTCTAAACGTGACTCCATCACAACTGGCTGGACTGGAGAATATGAGTCAAGCTTTGGAAAAGACCATGTTTCAATCTGAATCTTTTCACCCTGATACCCAAGCATTCCTCAAGGGCTGTTTCTCCACTCAAGGCCAGTAGACATTACAGCACCTGTGAACTCTCTTTGCTGTCCTCACTTCAATCATCAATATTCCACATTGCTGGATGGCACCACCTTTATTTTAAGCAGGAAAAGGATTTTCAAATCAAGTGAACTTCAAAAAAAAAAAATCTGGGCCTCTGAGAAAGATTACGTAAGTTCTAAGACAGCATGAAACATAAGCACACACATGTTATGAAGAGGACACATAAGCACACACGTGCTATGAAGAGGACACATAAGCACACACATGCTATGAAGAGGACACATAAGCACACACGTGCTATGAAGAGGACACATAAGCACACACATGTTATGAAGAGGACACATAAGCACACACGTGATATGCATAAGCACACACATGATATGAAGAGGACACATAAGCACACATGTGATATGAAGAGGACACATAAGCACACACGTGCTATGAAGAGGACACATAAGCACACACATGCTATGAAGAGGACACATAAGCACACACGTGCTATGAAGAGGACACATAAGCACACACATGTTATGAAGAGGACACATAAGCACACACATGATATGAAGAGGACACATAAGCACACACGTTATGAAGAGGACACATAAGCACACACGTGCTATGAAGAGGACACATAAGCACACACATGTTATGAAGAGGATACATAAGCACACACGTGCTATGAAGAGGACACATAAGCACACACATGTTATGAAGAGGACACATAAGCACACACGTGATATGCATAAGCACACACATGATATGAAGAGGACACATAAGCACACACGTGATATGAAGAGGACACATAAGCACACACGTTATGAAGAGGACACATAAGCACACACATGATATGAAGAGGACACATAAGCACACACGTTATGAAGAGGACACATAAGCACACACATGATATGAAGAGGACACATAAGCACACATGTGATATGCATAAACACACACATGATATGAAGAGGATATATAGGCACACACATGATATGAAGAGGACACATAAGCACACATGTTATGAAGAGGACACATAAGCACACACATGTTATGAAGAGGACACATAAGCACACACATGTTATTAAGAGGATATATTATGAAACTGACACTCCTTGACTCTGCCAGCTTTATGAAGACATGGAACATGTTTAGAAATTCTTTGCTTGTTTTTTGAGATAGGGTTTCTTTGTGTAACCCTGGTTGTACTGGAACTCTCTCTGTAGATCAAGCTGACCTTGAACTCACAGAGATCCACCTACTTCTGCCTCCCAAGTGCTGGGATTAAAGACATGTGTTATCACCCAGCAGAAATTAATTTTTAAAAAGTTAAAAATGTTGTACACTGAGAAAAGCACAACATGAAAAGATAGGAAAATGAAACTTTCCTAGAGTTGAGCACTGTGAGGGCACCCAGGTGTGGGCACAGGGCTGCATATGCTATGACTTATGAGATGTTCAGATCTCTGATTTTAATTAATTAGCTCCCAGGTGACAGCTCAGACAGTTTCCTAAACATTCACACATATTCGTATTTCTGGGCTACTGATTTAGGAAAGAAATTACTGGACACAATAGTCAGTTTCTTTTTATTTTGGGTTTTCGAGATACGGTTTCTCTGTATTGCTTTGGAGCATGTCCTGGAACTCATTCTGTAGATGAGGCTGGCCTTGAACTCACAGGGATCCACCTGCCTCAGCCTCCCAACTGCTCAGATTAAAGGCGTGCGCCACAACCACCCAATTCATAAACTCCAGTTTCTTATAATCAACTGCTAACTTGGAACATTCTATTATAGAAAGGCTGAAAAAACAGTTGGGTTCTTGTATATGGCATTGATCTCCCTTACTAAAGGACTATATGACACACTTAGAGTTGATGAGTTAGCTCTGGGCTGTAGCTCTATTAGAAATATACCCAGGAACAATATCTTTTACTCATTTAGACAGTCATATGACCCTCATTCACATGACAGAGGGCAAAGGAGCCTGCTGCAATTACGAGCTGAACTTCTACCGGCTGACAGAGGAGAGAGTGATTGGATGCAATGAGCTTCCTGACCTCAGGTTTATGCCTGTTAAACTGGAATATGAGCAGAAAGTGACTTGGAGATGTATCTGCCTCCTTTGTGCCACCTTCCTGCTAGCGATACATCGAACAGTTCCAGGTTCCAAGTCTGGGTGTCTTTTCCATGTCTTCATCTTCCTTGAAGGCTTACCATTCATGATGGTGGCCCTGGCTACCTCTTCACCTTCTTTTATTCCTTCATTGTTTCATACAATGTAGCTGTAGACAGTATGATCACAAAGGAACACTGGCTGGAAGGTAATATAAAACTAGGTCCATCCATGAAGGTGCCTGGACAGTTAGCGCACTGGTGGGGAGTCTGAGTGGTATGCTGTACTCTAATAGCACATTCCAGAAAAGCTTGACTAAAGACTTGCTTGCCACATGTTGGGAAAAGCTTAACTAAAGACTTGCTTGCCACATGTTGGGGTGTAGGTCTTCTTAACTCTCATACTGGCCTCTGCAAAGAGATACTGGGAAGAGACAAATGGCCTGGCCTGTATGGTTGGCATTCTAGGCTCTTCTAGAGCAACAGGATTTCTAGTGGACATTCAGTGAGGTCCCTGGAGGTATTTCTTTGTAGGGCTAGCTTCCTCCTCAGATGCTGTTGACTGGTACACACGAGGTGCTGTGGAGAAGTGGCCTGGCGTCCTTCCTGAAGTCTAGACTTAGAGAAGGAAACAAAAGTCTTCCTGAAATGTTGGGCTCTTGTCCAATGCATGGGACAGCCTGTTGTCCCCAGATTAAGTATATATTTTCTGGCTTCAGCTGGTTGCTTCCCTTGGTGAGCACAACAAGGGTGCTTGTGGAAAAGTGGAGAAGTTGCCAGGATCAAGCCCAGTGAGGGATGTTTGCTCACTCTTTATATGTATCTTCCTGCTTTAGTTCCTAATTAAATTAGTTCCAACACAATGGTAAACTTTCTAAGAAGGATTAACATTTCTTAAATATTCTGACTCAAGGGACTTAGTTCACACCTGGGCTTCATTTTATGCCTGAGTAATCAGTTTGGTTAGCTGTGTCTTAACTTTGTCAAGATGAGAATGAAATGTAATGATCCTGAATTATTCTATTTCACAGGAGATTGTCAGACTATTTCATAACACAAAGGTGGAAAGCTCATTAATGATACTCTGCTATACTCATAGATTGGTAGCTAGCCCAACTGTCATCAGAGAGGCTTCACCCAGCAACTGATGGAAGCAGATGCAGCGACCCACAGCCAAACATCAGGCAGATCTCTGGGATTCCTGAGCAAGAGGAAGGATTGTAGGAGCCAGCAGAGTCAAGGGCACCAAAAGAAAACCCACAGGAAAGAGTAGTTCACAGAGACTGAACTACAATCAGGAAACCTGCATGGGAGTGACCTAGGCCCTCTTTATATATGCTACAGTTGGGTAACTTGGTCTTCTTGTGGGACTCTTCTAACAGTGGGAGTGGGGCTGTTTCTGACTCTGTTGCCAGCTTTGTTTCTGTCTCTGTTGCCAGCTTTTGGGATCCTTTCCTCCTAGTGGATTGCCTTGTCCAGTCTTAATTGAAGAGGAGGTTCCTAGTCTCACTACAACTTGATATACTAAGGCTAATTGGTATCCCTGAGAAGTCTGCCCTTTTCTGAAGAGAAATAGAGGAGGAGTGGATAGGAGAGGGGCTGTGAGGAGAGGAAGAAGGGGAAACTTTGGGAGGTATGTAAAAACAAAAAATTAAATTAAAAAATTAGAAAAGGAAGAACTCAATTTAAAACTGGCAAATGAAACATTAGGTGCACAAAGAGCCCAAATTGGAGATTTCTATGGGTTCGTTCCCTTGGAGCTTGAAGGAACTGCTCGAAACACTGGGAGGAAGATTTGTAGGAGCCAGAGCAGTCGAGGACACCACAAGAATCAACTAAACAGGGCTCATAGAAACTGAAACAGTAATTGTGGCGCCTGCATGGATCTATGCTAGGTCCTCTGCAAATATGTTATAGCTGTTGGCTTGGTGTTGTTGTAGAACTACTAACAGTGGGAATGGGAGTGCCTCTAACTCTTTTGGCTGCCTTTGGAACCCCTTTCATTCTTCTGGATTGCCTTGCCTAGCCCTTATATGAGGGTTTGTTCTTAGTCTTATTGTATCTTATTATGCTGTGTTCAATGGATATCCCTGGGATGCCAGCTCCTTTCTGAAGGGAAACAGAGGAGGAGTGGATCTGGGGGAGATGGAGTGAAAGGACTAGGAGGAGTGAAGGAAGGGAAAACTGTGGTCTGGATATTGTATGAGAGAAGAATAAATAAAAAAGAAAAATGGGCAAATGATGTAAAGGAAAAAAGAAATAGAAATGCTCCCTGGAAATGATGCTCACCTTCAAGATCTAGAGAAATGATTTTACAGAACCACTGAGATGCTACAAGTTCATCTTTCAAGAAACTGATTTTCATTATCACATTTATTTGTTTATTTACAGTGGGGGATGAGTGAGCCACACTGCATGTGTGGAAGTCAGAGGACAACTGTGGGAGCTGATTCTCTCATTCTATCCTGTGGGTCCTAGGATCAAACTCAGGTCATTAGGCTTGTCTGCAAATGCCCTTACCTACTGCTGAGCCATCTCAATTGCCCTCTTTCTTTTATTTTATTTTTACTATTTTTCTCCTCTTATTTTCTTTCTTTCTTTTTCTACTGCTGGGTATTGAACTCAGGAACTTGCACATGCTAGGCAAACACTCTACCACCAAACTAGACCTCCAGCTAAGATACTAATGCTTTGTTGTTTGCTTTTTGAAACAGTCTCATATGTCTTACGCTAGCCTTAACTTGCTAGGTAGCTGAGGATGGCCTTCAACTCTGATTCTCCTGCTTCCATCTCATGAGTGCTTGCATCATGTGCCATCATGTTGAGTTTATATGATGCTGGTGATCAAACCCAGGGTTTCATGCATGCTGGGTAAGTCCTCTATCAATCAAACTACATCCTCAGGCCCCAAGAGATACCATTTTTCAAAGCAAAGTTCTTATTCCTAGGCATTCCTTCTGTAGGGAAACACAAATACTGTGAGCTACTTCAAATCCATAGAACATGTTTTGGCAAATATCTATCTAACCACAAGGATAGGGCAAGGGGTAGGACTTAATAGCAGAACTCTTGCTAGCATACATGAGACCCTGGGTTTAATCTCTAGCACTACAACAAAACAAAATAAGCCTTACAATGGCAATAAGCCCTAGGTCCCACTGGCTTCACCAGTCCATTTCTGTAACCTTTGACTGTTTGTCAAAAGACTAGAAGCCACTGAAATGTTTAGCAGATAGTTAAATAGTTATATTCATATAACAAAAAACCAAATACAAGAGAACAAGGAAGACCTCTAATTACCAATATCAAAAATCTCCAAGATACATTGTAATTACCAAAACTGCAAAAAACAGAGTGTGCAAACTAAGCTATATTTAAAAATTAAGCGAGTAAGGACTATACCCTCATTATATTCTCCAAAGGTATTAGTCAGATGCTGAATACTAGGTCCCAGAACCTTTAGGAGGTAGTGTCTACTGGAAAGAATTAAATTAATGGAAGGTGTGTCCTTGATAGGGATATTTGATGTTGGCCTTGTCTGTCTTTGCTTCCCAGTAGCCGTGACAAGAAGAGATGTTTTCTATTATGCACACTTGCCTTGATGTACTTTGTTACGACATGCCCAAAGCAACATGGACAAGCAGTCATGGATTAGAATCCCTGAAACCACAAGTTAAAATAAATCTTTCCTTGTTAGAAGCTCATATTGAGTATTTGCTACAGTGATAGAAACTGAGTAATAAAACCTTCAATGTGAAAGTCTTGTTCCAAATGTTTAATTTGAAAGCAATCATAAGGTTATATTCAAACATTTAAACTGAGGGGCACTCTGGAAAGCTACTAGTCTTGACTCAAAAGTCAACATTATGAAAGACAAAGAAGTAAGGGAAGGATGGATAATATAAGACCACAGAATTGGTCTTGGCTAAAATACCAACGAGAATGACAGCTAAATGTAATGTATGATCTATGGCAAAATCATGGATCTAAATCCATGAATTCAATTTCCTAGAAAATTATAGACATACTTTTGGTACATGAAGGGATCTTAGAATGAATAGTTGAAGTCTTGCTTCAAATACTACTTTTCTAAAAAAAAAAAAGAAAGAAAGAAAGAAAGAAAAAGAAAAGAACACATAAAATTGGGAGTTACTAGGGTACTTGGGACAGGGACAGAATTGGAAAGGAGAAAATGTGGAATAGACGTGATCAAAACACATTATATGTATGTATGACATTTTTATCCCTGCATCCAACCCCGAGACAGGAGACAGTGTTTCTCTGAAACTTGATTTGTAGATCAGGCTGACCTCAAATTCACAGAGACCTGCTTACCTCTGCCTCCTGCTTGCTGGGACTAAAGGCATGTGCCACCACTGCCTGGTTAACATTCTCAATCAATAAAAAATGAGAAGAAAAATATCTGCAATCATGCCTGAAGAGATCGACTTTAGAAACCACACATCAAATAACTTGGTCTTTAGCAATCCTTCATATGCATCCCTATGTGCATGGTGGGGATGGAGACTGTGTACTTCTTACCTTATCTCCAGATACCAGGCAGCTCCCACTGGTACTCCAACTGAGGATGGCAATGTCAGTGGTATGTGGCAGGGGCACTGTGTGCTGCTCCTTGTCCTGCTTATTAAACATTATCACTTCTCCGGTCTCCCAGCCAATAGCCAAGATAAGTCTTGTTGGGTGCCAGCACAGTGAAGTGACCCGGAAGGACCTCTCAATGTGGGTGTCAGGCACAGGCTCACCCTACGTGAGACAAGAAGAAAAAACTCCCATGGTAAACAGTGGCAGGTATATCAAGAAACTGTCTAACCCACACAATTCACATCAGCTACTTTAAGATCAGAAGAGCTATTTAACAAGAGGATGGTCTTCCATGTGTGCTTGGGTGCACATGTGCATGTATACGTGTGTGGAGACTAGAAGCTGATGATGGATAGATACCTTCCCCAGTTACTCTCCACATTATTTCTAATTACTTATTATTATTATTAATTAATTACTGGGGGCTGAAGAGATGGTTCAGCTGTTAAGAGTTCTTGCTGCACTTCCAGAGGACCTGATCAGTTCCAGCACCCAAGTCAGATGGTTCCCAATCACCTCTAACTCCAGCCCCAGTCATTTGATGTCCTCTAGTATCCAAGACTATGGGCACACACGTGCATTCACATACTCACACAAAACAAGAATAAAATCTCTGTAAAATAATTATCTTTTAAATAATAAGCTGGTTAGTGGTGGCACGTGTCTTTAACTCCAGCACTCAGGAGGCAGAGGCAGGCTGATCTCTGAGTTCGAGGTCAGCCTGGTCTACAAGTGGGTTCCAAAACAGCCAGGGATACACAGAGAAATCTTGTCTCAAAAACAACAATAATAGGGGCTAGAGATATGGCTAAGTGGTTAAGAGAACTGCCTGCTCTTCCAGAGGTCCTGAGCTCAATTCCCAGCAACAATATGGTGGTTGACAACCATCTGTAATGAGGTCTGGTGCCCTCTTCTGGCCTGCAGGGTTACATGCAGGTAGAACACTGTATACATAATAAATAAACCATAAAAAACAACAACAAAAATTACTTATTTTGTGTGTATGCATGGATACACATGTGTGCCATGATGTGTGTGAAGGTCAGAGGACAACTTGGGAGAATGTGGGTCCTGAGGACTGAACTCAGGTCTTCAGACTTGGAAGCAAGCACCTTTACTTGCTCAGTTATCTTGTCAGCTCACCTTATTTTGAGACAGAGTCTCTCATGTGAAACTGGGGCTAATTGCCCCAGCTAGGCTGGCTGGCCAGCAAGATCTAGATCTTCTGTATTCTGGCCTCTGTAGCTGCGAGAAAAGGAGTTTATATTCTTTAAAGACACCTAGTTTGTGGTAATTTGTTATAGCAGCCATAGGAAACTAGTACAGCTTGAAAAGGTCAAATTGGGCTGGAGAGATGACTCAGTGGTTTAGGGCACTTACTCACCTTGCTAAAGACCTGGGTTTGGTTCCCAGCAACAACATGATGGCTCATAACCATCTATAACTCCAGTACCATTGGATCCAGTGCCTTCTTCTGACCTTGAAGTCGTGCATATACACACAGACAGGCAAAACAATCGTATACATAAAATAAATAAATATAAAAAAATTCAAAGGACCAACATGGAGAATTGAAGAAGGCATGTACAGCACAGGATTCAGGCGTAAGCATGTTCCTGACTCTATATGGCAGGGATAAAAGAACTGCCATATGGAGGGCTTGGATGATCAGGCATAATTTGGCCTTTAGGAAGAACAGATGAGGAGAAATCTAGAGCTGAGTTATCAAGACTCCTTGCCTCTATGCCTTAAGAAAAGAACACAAGAGCTCGAAGCTGCTGAAGTCAAAGTAGCTCTGATGACTCACTTGTTCAAGGTAGATGTCTACACTGCTTCCACAAGATGGGCTTATGGATGCTACTGCCAGGAATGGGTGGGTGGGGTGCCAGGTGATATGTGAGGGAGATCTGGATGCATCTGGGGCTTTGATTCGGTGGTCAAAATACAGTGCCATGATGATGCAGATCTGGTCAGGGATGAAACCTGCAGAAAAGAAAAAAACCACTAAGAGCAACTACATATAAAGTTACAAAAGGGAAGCAAATCTACAGAAACACTTAGCACCTTAAGTGTTCTTTAGACTAATGTTGGCAAGTTCATTTGTTAGAGATTTTTATTATGAAGGAATATAAAATTAGAAGCAAAGAATTTGACTTAGAATGATCCACAGTGTGCTAGGAAAGAGGGAAAATTCATTGCCATCAAAGAAATAATTAAAATAGAATGAAAGCAAGTGAGCACTGAAGCCAGGGTTTCAACTAATTCTTGGCAATTCTTATTCTAGACACAATAAGCATGGTTTCAATTTCTACAGATACCTGCAAAGAAAATTTTGAAACAAAATAAAAGCAAACTGCCCATAAGAGAATACCTGTACAGGAGGAAAAGGGGAAAACCAGCATTCAGTTTCAGTAAAACCATAAAGCTCAAGAATGTTGTCTAGGGCTGGAGAGATGGCTCGGGGGTTAAGAGCACTGACTGCTCTTCCTAAGGACCCAGGTTCAATTCCAGGCACCCACATGGCAGCTTACAACTGCCTGTAACTCCAAGATCTGACACTCTCACACAGACATACAGGCAAGCAAAACCCCAATACACATAAAATAAAAATAAATAAAATTTTTAAAAAGAATGCTGTCTAGCTATGATGTCCAGGTGGTAGAGGTCAGAACCTGTCTCTTATTAGACAGTCAGAACCACAAAGCTACCATTGAGAAGCTGAATTTGAAATGTTACATGGTCTTGAAAGACAGTTCTGTGCTCAAGAGAGCATAGTGCTCTTCCAGACAACTCAAGTTCAAGTCCCAGCACTCATATCAGGAAGCTTTCAACTGTCTATAACTCCAGTTCCTCTGGGATCTGCATGCATGTGCACACACACACACACACACACACACACACACACACACACACACACACACACACACGCCAAATACAGTGGTACAAGATTTTAATGCCAGCACTCAAGAAGAAGAGACAGGAGGATCCCTATGTGTTTGAGGGCAGTATGATATGTAGTGAGTTTCAGGTAGCCAAGGGTACGTGGTGAGACCTTGTCTCAAAAAAAGGAAAAGAAAAATCTTATTTTTTTTAAAGGGATTATGTCCCAGTTTCGATAAGCCCATTTTATACAATGTTTTAATCATTCACTCTCTCTTTCACTATCACTTAAGCTTTTAAATGAGTATCAGCCACATAATTAAAACATTATTAAACTTTAGGAGGTAGATATTCACAATAAAATAACTACTTAGCAAGAATCTGTTAGTGGCCTTAGTTCAGGAACAAGTACTTATTAAAACAAACCCCAAGTATCTAGGACATAAAACAAGAAAAAGAAAAATTCACATTTTCCAGTCAACTGATCCTCATTTTTATAATCGTCAAAGGTAAACGCCTCCATCAACTTTTTGGAAAGAATCTGTTAGGCTCATTATGCCAAGGAGTCATACTAACAAGGCTTAAAGAAAAGTCACTCCTCTGAGACACTCAGGAGCAGAAGTATGGGTTCTAAAGCAGGTTTTCAAGGGTAATGAGTGACCAGTGACCACGCTCTAGGCCAGAATAAGGCCACTGGCTGCATCAAGTAGACATTCCTGAAAAGCTGTGCAGTTCAAAGCGGTTCAAGTCAGTTCATAGTATCTTTATAAGCCACTCGAAGGTTGACTAAGGGCAGGATTTTGGCTTTCTTGTCACTTCACACTAATTGCATCCAGAGGAAACCACATGGCAAATCGAAAGTTCAGCATGGGGCCCCAGGATTGTGCATGGAAGAGATAGCCCTCATGAACCCAGCATAGAGGAATCAAGAGGGTCCTGGAAGGTCATGTCTAGGCCCCCAGCCCGATCTTGGAGGACCCACCTCATCCGAAGCCTGGCTGTACTCCCTACTCCAGCCCCAGACCCCTCTTCATCTCACCTATAGGAATCTAACTTCGCCAGATTTCCTGTACCTCTGTGTTGCCGGGACAACGCCGCTCGAGGAAATGAGAAGCAGTCGAGGGGAGAGCGATGCGCCTCCGATGCTTCCCGAAACGACTGGCGGCTGGCGGCGGAAAAAGCCGAAGACAGTCGGTACCACTCGGCGCAACTCCGAATCTTAGGCCCGCCCCAGGGCCACAGTTTGGGATGCCTGCTGATAGATGGACCAGAACTATTTGCTACTCAGGGCAAGCTGTGCCGAGCTTCCTGGTATTTTCTCCTTGGGTTCATCCTGCCCACTCCACTGCGGAGGTCATCAGTCGGCGCTTCGAGGAGTTTAGCTGCATTTCCTCTGATGGGAGGACGCGGCTCGAGAACTTCTCTGGGACGTTCTGAGTACCGGACGCCGCGCCCGAGTGTGGCGCGTTGACGTTTCGGGAGACAGCTGCAAGCCAGTGCTCCGCAGAACCTCGCGACTAGTTACGGAGTTCCCTGGGCGACCGTGCGCACTTGAGCCAGTGTTAGCCAACGGCGGGTGTCGCCGGAGAGCAGGCGCAGTCGCACGGTCCACGTCAATGAGCGAAGGGGATAACCAGAGGCGGGGACCTCCCGTGGACTGGGGTATTCATTTTCAAACGCCACTTGCGTAAGCAATAGAATTTTTAAAAAACATTTCTTTAGCGCTTCGAAAAGGAAAAGTGTCAGTGGGCTATGCTATTATATGCTACACCTGTCTTCTGAGTGCCTTGTCTCCACCCGAGTTCGCGCGCGTTTCAAGACGCCCCGCTGAGGCGGCGATTTCTTCTCACGCATCCGTCAACACAGCCACAGCCAATCACAGCCAGGACGCTGAGCCTATTGGCTGTCCGTTCGCCAATCCGAAGAGACGCACGGTCCGCAAGAGCGCGAGGTTGCCGTCACAACACGCCCCACGTTGCGGGCCCTCCCCGGTAGACCCTGTGTGCACGCGCACGAAGCCGCTGCTGACCAATGGCAACACAGCTGGTTGGGCGCGCCCGCAGAAAAGCTGGACGTGCTCGTCTTCTTGCAAGACGTCCGCCCCGCCCCGCTCCGGCGCTGACTTCAGGTCCCCGGCGGCCGCCGTAGCCGGAACTGTTTAGAGCGCGGTGCCCGGGTGTGGGAGGGCGAGCGGCGGCAGCACCGGCGCCCTCAGCCCTGTCAGCCGCACACCGGTTCATTGAGAGGACGTGCGAAGGAAACGGTGCTCGGCGACCGCATCTGACATACGACCACCAGCCCGGCGTCGCGGCCTCGCCGCAGCCGGAGCTGCCCGGCCGGGTTGGTTCTGCGGGCGCCCGCGGAGGCCCGGGATCCGGGATCCAGGCTGCCGGGAGGCGTGGATGAAAAAGGTGACCGCAGGCTGCACTCGGGTGCCTACGGGATCCGCGGAGGGGCCGCGGTATTGGCGGGCTGCGCTGCGTGCAGCCAGCGGTCAACTTCTCGGGAAGGTGCGCGCTTCTCCCAGCCGGAATGGGACAAAGGGTGTGGAGCCTGGTTGAGGACCGCAGTGCCCGTGCCTCCCACGGTCAGGAAGTGACGGGTTTCATTGACGGACTCCTATGGAGTCTACCGCTGCTGGCGAACGACCGGAATGCGCCTGGGGATGCAGCCCGGCGCGCGAGCTAGTGGGTCTTGTTGGATTGACGCGTTTTGCTTGGTGTCATTGGCATGACTGGTTCTGGGAATAGGTTTCACTCCCTAGCGCAGTGACAGGGTTCTGGGCACCTGGGCGAGATGCTTAAAAGTGAATAGATTCAAAGAGAAGTCCTGTGCTACGAAATCCTTTAGCCTGGATTTGTGTCTTGTGTAGTTCTGTGCCAGTTTTCTTAAGCCAGTATTAGAAAAATCAGATCCAAACAGGAAAATTGAACACCATTTGTTGCAGCACCATTTTGTGGTGTTACTTCGAGTTTTATGTCCCGGTCTTTACCCTCAGTCTGTTTGCTTGTTAGCGTTGGTGCCTTCTTCTGTCTAGTTTTCTTATTACATAGGAATGTTCTCAACAGTTGCGTTGAGACTAGTGTGGTGTCTGCTGAAGAACGCACTGTTTCTCTTTCCTGCTTCATCACATGCACAGCCTGTGCTTAAGATGTTGGGATGTACCCGATCCTTAGTTTATTCTGAGTGTAACTTACTTAGGCTGCAGATAATTGTTATTTTGTTTTATCGATATTTTTATGATAGTGATATAAGTTAACACAAGAATTTTGTTGTTTCCAGAATTGTTTACATAGTTCAGTTCCGATTCTTGAAAACCGGCTGGAACATAATAGTGTTTGCTGTCACTTTTCCGGTGTTCTCTAAACCTGTTCCACGCAACAGACTCTGTTGCACGAGCGTTGTAGTCGGTCTATCTCCCACATCCCGCCTGGGAAGGTACCCTGAGTGCAGAGCCTCTCTCTTGCATGCCAGGTTCAGAAGGAGCGGTAGCTTTGGCCCTTGGAGCACTGGGGGCTCCGAGGGTAGCGCAGGCCGTTGCATTAGTCAGGTGCGCGGCACGATCACGCGCGTCTCCAGAAAGCAGAGGGGAGGCTAGGGGCCACGGGCGGTGCGGGGAGCGAGGCGGGCCCAGGCTGGGCCATGAACTGCGGCGCCGTGGGGTAGGTGGCGGGACAGTGGGTCCCATAGCGCTAAGGCCAGGCCTTGCTGCCTTGCCTTCCATGGCTCCCGGCGGTGTCAGCCAGCCTGGGTTGGGGGCATCCAAGGGCGGGGCGGGGTCCCGGTCCGGTTGGACTCAGCACTGTGCGGGCCCTCGGGCGGGCGGCGGGCGGCGCTGGAACAAACAACGGCCGCCATGTTGGGAGGCCGGCGGTAAACTTCTGCCCGTCGTCCGCCTCACCGCTCCTCGCCTCTCCCGATGCAGGATGACAGTGAAGTTGGGCGACGCCGGCAGCGGGGAGGAAGGGCTCAAGAAGCTGGGCAAGCGGACAGCCGATGAGGAGTCGCTGGACGGAGAGGGGCCCGGCGGCGCGGACGCGGCAGAGGACAGCAGCAGCACAAAGAGGGACGGGCAGACCCCTCGGCCCTCCGGAGCCCCCGCGCCACCCAGAGGGCTACCAACACCGTCCCCACCGCAGGGCAGTCCCCAAGACCAGCACCACTTCCTCAGGTCCAGCGTGCGTCCACAGAGCAAGAGGCCCAGGAAGGACGCGCCCTGCGCTGTGGGCACTGGTGGTGCCAGCGGTTCCGGGCCGCGCGGAAAAGGTAAGGGACCCGATGCTTTGATGGGTGGCAAGACCTCCTTGGGTGGCACTTGCAGAGGCACGTGTCCCCTTCGACTCCTTCTGTTGCTTTTCTCTTTACACTAGGATAAGGGGCAGTGATTGTCCTTTCTCTGGGCAAGAGAAATAGATTCCCAAAGGGTCCCTGATGGCTTTCCATGGATGGCCATTTTAAATTATGCACAATAGCTTAAGAACAGGCAGAGAAAGTACCTGCTGCTCTCTTTCCACACCTCAAGTGGTGGGAATGTAACAAAGGAACCGGCTTTTGAAATTTATGTGCCGGGGAGGCTGTTGATGAGAGATCCAAAGACTAATGTTAGTGATGGCAGAGGCTGGGTTTGTCTCATTGTCCTCCACCAAAGAGTTCCTGATTTGAAAGTATGAAGAACACAAAAATGGCATAGAGTTTCAACTGAGGCTTACTTGGTGTCACAAAAAGGAATCAACAGTGATCTATCAGGGGGCAGCCCATGGTGCTGTCCTTGGGTTGAGACTGTTACTGCTTTCCTGAGGCCTCTTAAAGAAGTAATCTTTAAAAAGTATCATTTTGGTTAGTCACATGCCCGTATTTCCTTGTCTGCTTCTGTCTATTTGTATTTAAACATCATGGTTTTTATTAACTATGCGGGCAATTTGCTCTTATGTTCTTTTCAGACCAAGCCCCCCCCCTTTTAAAGACAAGATCTGCTGGGTAACCCATTGGCCTGGAATTTACCAAGTAGCCTTAGGCTGGCCTTGAGCTCATAGCAGTCTTTCTGCCTCGGCTTCCAGAGTGCTAAGATTATATACCTAAGCTAAGATGGTTGGCTTATAGCACCTTTTTAAAAATATCAAATGAAACATCAGTTATGATTTCCATACATAATAGCCAGGCATGAAGGCTAGAGGCCGAGGGCTGGTGGATCTCTGTGAGTTCAAGGCCAACTTAATTTACATAGCAAGTTCTTGCCCCCCCGCCCCCAGGGCTCCATAGTGAGACCTTGTATTTCAAAAAACAAAAACAAATCACTCACTTTTAGCACTTGAACTATTATAGTTTGTTTATGTATTTATTTATTGTTTCTTTGGCAAGTATTGATTTAAATTACCAAGATGACCCTGGTAGTTTTAAAAAGGAAATGTTTCAAGAGCTAAGCAAGAACCCTCGTTGAAGATCTGACCTAAATGTGTCTCATTCAACTCACTTCTGCCTTGTCCTCATCTGGAAGGCTGGCCTTCAGATTCATGGCCTTACCAAATGATGAAGCATTTTGGAGTATGACTGCTTAAAGATCTAGTATGAGGTAACTTTGTATGTTTCCGAAACTAAAAGTTGCCTCACATAAGTTCGTTTTGGTGTTAGAAAAACATGAGTTTACAAAACTTGGATGTTTTGTAAAATCTCTTTTCACTAGAAGATATAGGTATCCTTAAACTTCTTGGGTCTGTGTTAAGCTCTTTTGTGTTCTGGGGTGCCTTTGGTGGTGGTATTTCAGAATGCCCTGCCTGTGGACTCCTACTGATACCACATCTATCATGTCCTTGCCATCTCAGTTCTGTGTTCATTCAGATTTGCTTTTCTGTCAGAGGTGTACACACTTGAGAAAAAGGGAACAATAGCAGTTGTTGGTGCCTCTTGAAGTTTGACTGCTGGGAAGAAATATGTTGGTGTAAGCGCACTGACTTATACATAGCCCCTGTATATAGAAAGGGTGCCAAAACTGGTGTCCAGGGGGTTGGGAGCTGTGAAGTGATAAAAGGAGATTTGCTTTTGTTTGCACAGGTTGAAGAGGTTTCTTGGTTAACTTCTCCCTATGTCATTGGTGCTCCTGGTTCTGGTTCTTGTCCACTGCTGTAATAGTGCTTCTAGAAGGGAAGTGAGAGTCTGTTTCTTTCGACAACTTCTTTGGCAGTGCCTGCCTTGCTGATGAGTCCTCTTGGTAGCTGCCATCCACTCACGGGCTGCATAGACCATTTGGATGTACTTCATCATGCCCTGGATATCTCTATTCTGGCTTTGGAGAAGCTTGTTCAGTCATCACATCCATCCACTGCCAGGAGAAGTCAGGTGTGACCACATGCCATTCTCGTTGTGTAGCCAACCTTCAGAAATGCTTCTCTGGAGGAACGTTTCTCTTACACACTGGAAATCTCCACTTTGGCTGTCCAACATGGGTCAGTAGGAAGTGAGGAATGCCTGCAATTTTAGTCTCACTTGGAAAAAAACATGACTTGCATATGTGAAGAAAACTTACAGTTGAGCAGTGGTAGTTCCTTTGCTTGTTGGCTTCCCATCTTTCCAAGTCTCATCCTGATGGGAATTTGGAGGAATGACTTATGGAGAAGATAGAGGTCCTCCTTGTCTTGTTTTTTTGTACATACCTATGCTTTCTTTTTCTGAGGGTGTAAGAGTAGATTCTTTGACTTGAATGAAAAAAAAGAAGACTTAGTCCCCCCATGAAAGACATTTTTCATTTCTGTAACTTTGTTTTTGAATGGCTATAGAAACTAGTTTATTGTTTCTATACTGAGTTCAACCTAAAATAGAAATAGCAGATCTGGGGCTGGAGAGATGGCTTACAGGTTAAGAGTACTGACTGCTCTTCCAGAGGACCCGGGTTCAATTCCCAGCACCCCACATGGCAGCTCACAGCTGTCTGTAACTCCAGTTCCACATATGACAAAACACTAATGCATAAATAAATAAATAAGTAGTCTTGCCATACAAGCTGCTTCATATTAAAAGAAAGAAAGAAATAGCAGATCTGCTTGATTTTTCCAATCCTGCCACACTGCCAGGAAGACTCAAGGACCCTTTTGTGACTGAAACCCAGTTACTGAGACTGTTACTAAGAACCTAGTCTGGGACCTAGAGCCCTCTGATGTTCTTCCTTGTTTGGCCAGTTCATGTACCAGTAGACTCCTCAGTAAAATAGTTTATCTCTCAGAGCCTCAATTTCTTACCTTTAAAAAAGGAAAAAAAAATGGAGAGATGGTTCTGCAGTTAAGAGCACTTGTTGCTCATGGTGCCCAGAACCACTATGGTGGCCAAAACCATCTATAACTGCAGTTCCAAAGGATCTGATGCCCTCTTCCAGCTTCTGCTGCACACTGCATGCATATAGTACACATATACATGTAGGCAAAACACCAATACACAAATAGATCTTTTTTAGAAGATGTTTTTAATTTCTTTTTTTTTTTTTTTTTCTGGTTTTGGTTTTTTGAGACAGGGTTTCTCTGTATTGTTTTGGAACCTGTCCTGGAACTCACTCTGTAGCACGGGCTGGCCTCAAACTCACAGATGTCTGCCTGCCTCTGCCTCCCAAGTGCTGGAATTAAAGGTGTGTGCACTACCAGTGTCTGACGAAGGTGTTTTTAAAAGGTGCCTTCTAAACATCTCAGCTATTGCAGTCAGCTTTCACATTCTAAAGAGGTTTGAACTAGCAGTCTGGGGTTCAGCTTCCACTCCAGAGCTCCCAAATGGCTGGTTCATGTGTGTAGCAGGGAAGAGGTAAATCATAATGCCTAAAGTGTAGATTTCTTTTTTAATAGTCAAGTGAGCTCGTGGCTGAGACCTGTACTTAACTTAGCCTTCAGGGTTGAAAACTTTATAGGACTTGGATCTAATGTATTCTTAAGAGAACTTTCTGCAAGGTAGGCTTCCTGAAATCAACATATAGTCCTGGATCAGGTGAACTTCTACTTAGCTTTTGCCTTTGGGAATGTTCCAAGCAGGAAACAGCCAAAATACCACTCTCCTCCATATAGGTGAGGATGGTATTAGGACCTGGTGCTGCTTCATTGCTCTGTGACCACTTTCAAGGCTTTTCATTAGGCATTGTGCCCAGCATTTACTTGCTGGCTGGGCTACAGTGGTTTGTATCATGAAGCCTCTGGTTCTATACTGTCCAGAGGGAAGGTCAGAGCATCTGAAGACTAAAGGATAGAACACCGTGGTTCCTCTACCCAGTCTAATTCAGTGAGAGCCCATTGTAGTTATGCATGGGCAGTGACATTAAGCAATGTCAAGAACGTTGAGGCCCAGGGAGAAGAGGAAGAAGAAGGGGACTCTGTCTTGCTTCCAGCCACTCCCTCTGTGACATCCACTACATGTAATCTCTATTTCTGACATAGACCACACCTGTTCTCACTGTTTCAGAAGAGCTAGGACACACAGACTGTGATGACGCCGAGACAAAGAGGAAACTATCAAAACTGTGTATAATTGTGTATAATTTTGTTTTTGAAACAGAGATTCATTCTAGCTCTTGTTGCCTTAGCTCTTTTTTTTTTTTTTTTTTTTTGGTTTTTCGAGACAGGGTTTCTCTGTATTGTTTTGGAGGCTGTCCTGGAACTCACTCTGTAGACCAGGCTGACCTCGAACTCACAGAGATCCTCCTGCCTCTGCCTCCCAAGTGCTGGGATTAAGGCGTGCGCCACCAACGTCCGGCTTGTTGCCTTAGCTCTTATGTGCAAGTACATTACTCAGAGGTTCATGATAAATTATAAAGTTCAAGGAAGTTGTTAAGTAGGTAAGGTAATGTCAACTACTGTGTTGAAGGTTCACTGTATAACTCTGGCTGGCCTGGAACTTGAATTGTAGACAAATTGGCCTAGAACTCACAGAAATTCATCTCCAGCCTCTGCTTACTGAGTACTAAGCTCATTTCCTTTTAAGGTTGAAATGAATATAGTTTAAAATGTCTACCTTGGTAGGATTATTTTGCTAGTAAAGAATGCTTTAGCATTTTGATATTTGTACCTTATTTTGGATTGTGTAGAAGCTATTTCAGATAGCTAAGTCACAAATTAAAAAATTAGTGCTGTCATATAGTATATAGAAAGCTTTTGTTAGGTTGAATAACTGTGATGATCTTGGCACCAAAGATCAATATGAAAACCACCGAAAAACATTCGTTTGTAGTTCTATAGAGACAAAAGGTATTGATAATAGAAGACAGTGAGAAAAATCCCTGTGGTAGCCGGGCGTTGGTGGCG